ACCACCGATGTGATTAGCAATTTACCTTTTGTTGAGCGCCTATGCATGCACATTCTGTTATTATCTATAATTATCATTGAATAAATACTTTTTTGCTTTGATTAACAAATGAACATTTTGATGAAAGAGTATTTTTGAGCGGGATTTTTAATTTTTGTTATGCCCCCATGCAGCATGTGGAGAGGCTATTCAACCCTCGGATGGGCTGATCAGGTTGGTTTCTCACAATCATCTTATCAAAAGGGCAGAGCACTTGAAAAGTCATATTTAAAGATTTTCTAAAAGAAATTTTTGATCAAAAGGATTTATTTTTTTTAATTTGAAGTTGATTTCATATTTAGAAATAACGTTAACTTGAAAACGATTTCAGAAAAAATACGTTTGCATTTACTATTAATGCGTGCATAATCAATCATACGCAATCAATCAAAAGTCAAAAATAATTCTTTTCGTTGTGTTAAGTTTTGTTTTTCTTCCAAACTTTTATTGAAATTATATGATTTATCTTTTTGCTTTCATACCAATGTTATCTTACGTGAAACATTCATTTATGATTTATCATAAATTTTATATAACATTTTCACATTTATGTATATTTTATGAGTACACTGGAGGCCAATTCTTATTTATTTATTTATTTATTTATTTATTTATTTATTTATTTATTTATTTATTTTGTTTTTTGTTGCATGAGATTTTTTAAAGTATCTTTATTGTTTTCACATTGCTATTTTCAAATCTGTAATCGTATTCTCGGTTCATACTATAGTCTTCTTAAAAGAAATTTTTAGTCTACTTTCTGCGAAATGTACAAATTTAAATACGTTATGTACAACAAGGGGTTACATAAAAGTTGTGACAAACTTTTAACGTAGTTAAGGCATATCATCGGAATGAAAATTGCATAGAAACCCATGCCGAAAATGTCATTGTAAGCGACAAGAGACACTTCCCTATAAAAACCTGCCCAGCTATTTTTTATGCATTTATTTTCATTTAATTTTATTTTTTTAGCATTATGCATGAAAGCTATCGTTCGAATAATAATTTTCCAGAAAAAAAAACTTATCAAACCAATTTTTTTCCCAAGAACCAGTAATTCATATGCATTCAACTAGTATATATTCATAATATGTTCATAATTACAAATTCAAATGAAATATTAAGTAAAAGGGTAATCAAATGTTTATTTTATTTATTCTATTTAGTTAACTGCTTTAAATTTACAAACTGAAGCACAGGTTTAATCACGCTCCGTGCACTCTGCTCATCATTATAAATAAATTCGAATACATCATTAGAATCCCCATTGTACTCAATGCATTGAAGACGATTAAAACTGTACTCGCGTCTGTTGAATTAAAACGTAAGAGCATTGAGTACCGTCATTCGGGGCTACTTTGTGCAGTATTACGCAGTTTTTGAACTTTGACATGTAAAAAAAACTATGTTAATTCAAACTTTAGTAAAATTTATCGATATTATATTCATAACTGGACTCAGACGAGTGAATTTGATCAATATTGGCATTATTTGTATGTAATATTTACGAATAATAAGTCAAAACATACCTTGCACAAAGTAGCCCCCAAATGGGGCTATTTTGTGCAGCGATAGGAATTCAGTTTAATAATCATGTTTTTAGTAAAATATTGTTATAAAATTGTTAAAAAAAGTTAATTGTTGACATTTTTAAAGACAAAAACATCAAGATATGTAAAGATATTAGTTTGAAAATAATTTTCAGCGTTAAAAAACCTTTTTTTTTTCGAAGAATTTTTTCTTAAAAAAATTTTTTATTTCAAAACATTTGAGTTTAAACAAAAGGAAACCATATACATTTTTAACCATTGAAATGGATGAAATTTTAAAAATAATAATTATTACATATTCATTAACATTTATAATATTGTTAAATTTGAACATAACATCCTTGAATGAGCATGACAGAACTTGCTCTTCAGTTTCTGTCAAAATCACCTGATGTCCTATAAAATATATTTTTATGTATTAAATCGTTTGATTAATTCATTAGAAAAATCTTTGTAGAAGAAAAATAATAGTTTACCAGGAAGCTTCACGTGTTTCTTGTGAATTTTATTAGAGATAGTATTTCTGTGGATTTTGTACTTCCGAGAAGCTTCTGCAATCGACATACCACCAGCAACTGCCTGGAAATATTGTTGCAGCTTTTCTAAAGTGTAATCACGGTAGTTACTCGTTCCAGGTATTTTTTTATAACGTCTGACCATTTTTCTGTCGAAAAAAAAAACGAATGAAACTTTGCACAAAGTAGCCCCAAAGTGCTTTTTTTTTTCATTTTCCGTTTATTTGTTATTAATTTTCAAATTTTTTTAACGCTAACATGATCTAATTGTTTATTAATATATAAATAAGAAATTTTGCACTTACGACAATTGTTTTGTCAACGTCTTTGCATTTCACAGCTAAAGTTTCCACGCACACTTTTCGACATCCGACGTCCTCGGAAAGTTGTTGACGCTGGATGACGAAACACACTCTGAGATTGTTTTAAAATTCGAAAAAATGTTTGTAGTAATAGAAGAGACTTCTATCTTCAAATTCCACACATTTTTAACGTGAAATAAACATAATACTGAATAGCAGCACTTGAAAAATGCCAAATTCGAATTTGCACAAAGTAGCCCCCGCTGCACAAAGTAGCCCCTAATGACGGTAATATAAAACTCACATGTGTCCTCTTTACTTAGTGTGGTAACGTCGTGTACTTAAGCAACAAAATAGAAATTAAAATTATACTAAGTGATAATATTTTTCTTAAATACACCGTATACTCCCTACAAAGATATCACGAACCGAATAGTTATTCTTTTTCTTGAATATTCCTTCAAATAAATAAGGGTAATTATTAAAAATGGACAAAAACACGATACACTGTTAGAATTTTCATTCCACACCGGCACCGGTTAAACAACCGGCAGCAAATTTTCCCTCCAATTAACCCGTAAAGTTTACGCTAACGATCATATTTTAATTTTACCGTTTTGAAATCGTTTAAAACTAACAGGGTTAAAAAAAGCATGAATACCTAACTATACGGTTTTTACCCATTTACAACTAGCAGGGTTTCAAATACCGCAAACGAAATTTAACTGAACATTGGACACAGGTCAGGAGCCCTATTATACTGCCATCTATGCGTAAATAAAAGTATCGTATTCTAATAGCCCAGGAGCATACATTATTCAATGCAGAACATTGGAAACTCTTCATGTGTTGAACGTAAAGTAGGAAATGTTGTAACATCAAGGTTGGGATTTGAACCCCAGTTCAGTCAGTCATGAGACTGACAGATTAACTCTCTCGGCTGTAATATATACTCATCTACAACGAACTATGTTGTTTCATTAGGTGGACCTAGTTGGTGTGATTATATTCTGGTTGTTTAAGCCTATTAGGTGAAAAGTTTTTTCTTGCACTTAAGAGTATGAATACCATCTTATTTATGGTTATTTGATTATTTTGTTTGAATAGGTCAAAATAACAATTAAATAAATTGTTATTAAACCATTTTTTCTGAGAAACTTCTGTGTAAAATGCATATTGAATGCAAAAAAAATCAATTTTCACGTACGTAAGTTTGGCCAATTTCATTTTACTCCTTTTTAATCTTCTTCAATTTTCAATTCACATAATTTACTTATTTATTACAATTTTACATAGTTTCAAGAACTGGCATCATTTTAAATGTTTTATCTCTGTAAAAAAATGTGGGATTTAAAAATGAAGTAAATTAAGTCAAAGGATTAAGTGTGACTTTTCATGTGCTCCGTCAATAGATTAATTTTTGTCCCCATACATTTCAATGTTAGATATAGTTTCATATAGAGAAATATTCCTATTCTTTTTTCCAATTACCCTTAAAAATTGTAATGAAATATATTATGCTGTAGGGCAAGGAGAATTATATAAATTATTTTCTTAAAATTTTTATGTAATTCATAGTATATTTAATTTCATTCTATTAAATTAATCTAATCAATTTCTAATCAATTAAATTACTTATTTTAAACTAAACTGAAGCAATTGAAAAATATTGAAGTTTTAGGGGTAAAATGCTTTAAAATAAAGTAGATGCACTGAATATGATTGAATTAAATCAATATGTATTTATATAATGATTTTATTTAGTTTTTTAAAACGTTGGATTAAGGGTGCACAAATATATTTAGTTCTTTCTCCATACATTTGTCTGTCAGTTTTAATATTTTAAATTCTCAAATATGATTTATTTTTCAATTATAAATGTTTAATAAAATAGATTGTTATGTCGGTCATTGTGTTAATGTATTCAGATGAAATAAATTGAATCTATGCAATGTATATGATTAAAAAATCGTCATTTGTAAATTATTTTCTATTAAATACAATATCAAAATAAAATAAAGATAAAAATGGAAAAAATTTATTCTCATTTCTCTTTACAATAGTATATTTGGAAACAAGTGTTAAAATGTAATTTGTTAACTGGAAAATATAAATTTAGTTACATTTATTTATTTATACCACAAAAGAAAGCCACCTATCTGGACATTTCTTTTATTTTATGATATGAAATGGTATTCTGTACATTTCAAAATAAAATTCATCAACTAAATGTATTTTCATATTTTGTCTAAAATAATCAAACCAGACTTAGTTACTAATATAACTAATATTATTTTTACAAATACAAATTCATAAATTGTATATTGTAACTCCGACAAGTGCTATTATCGTGTATCTTAAATCATAATTCGAACAATGAATTAGATGATTATATGTATAATACGAGTTCCTTTCATAAAAGTTTCCAAGCTTCATTAAAAAAAACATTGCTATTGAAACCATAAAGATACTTATGAAATTCTATTATGGTAAAACAGTTTTCAGAAGGCGTTTATTATATTCAGTGCATCTTACCTAATCAAGAAAACACTTTTATTTAACTACGAGTCTACTTTTTTATCCTCCCATAGCCTAGGGGCAGGGTGATGTCCTCACTGCCTTTGCAGAGCCAAAGTTTGGACGGAGGAACTCACACTGTCATTCACGTTCCACCTGATGGTCATACGAAACAACAGACAGCATTAGACGCATTGCTGAGTGAACTGCAGACTTTCAACCTTCCTGCCGAGCAAAAAACTCAGCGAGATAACATACCAGGATTGCTTGGGCCTCAAAGGCGCTTGCCTTCCTACCCCAGTGCTGATTCTCCAGTTCGATCTCCTATACACGGTATGCCACAGGCACGTTCCCCTACAAATCTTGACCCTGGTGCCAAGACACTACTAGTTACTCCCACTGCCAATCGTTTATCACCAACACCTCAACAGCCCGAACGGAAACCTTCCCCGACACAATTAACAGTAAAAACTATAGCTGAAGTCCTCACTAAAAAAGTTCCTCCTCCCCCTCCGCCCCGCACAACAAGTCGATCTCCAGTCACTTCTCCCACCGAGGCAGCCACTGTGTCCAAATCTGCGCCTCTACGCTCTGCCCTAGCAACACGCAATCCTCCACCCCAGCGAAGCAGTTCTGTTCCTACACCTAGAGGTTCCACCCATCCTACTCTCAGGCAGACTGCTTCTACCAGAGCATCTTCCAGAGATCGTTACGATCCACCATCAGTGAGCATCAAAGAACCTCTAGCTCCTCTGAGCTCATCATCCAAGGAGAGTATCGTGAGGACATCAGCACTCAATGATGAGCCGCCTCCTCGTGAGCAGCTTTCAAGCAATAGTAGCAGCAGTGAGAGTGTGAACTCACAAGAAGGTCTACAGATGGCGCTACAAGCAGCCAAGGCTGAGAAGGATAAAGTGATACAACTTTTGAAGAATGAATTACGAGATGAAGTAAGTGATGTGCAGGATAATTATAATTTCTATATTCGTTTTGTATAAGAATGATAAATCAATGTAGATAAACAGCGTAATAACTATTTATGTTCATTGTACCTGCATATGTTATTTTAAATGTTAGATAACATAGGAAAGGCTTGGGGAAATAATAAAAAGTCACATTTTCAAATTGTCTATGGGAGCATTTTAGTGGGAAAAAAAGTTGATTCCCATGCATGAAATAAGATATTCCCATATATTGTGCTGTAATCAAGTGAAAATTCCAGACTCGATACTGGTGTCCAGAAAAAATGCCTAAGATCAGTTTACAGCAAAAATATTACCTTTGTTGAAGCGAAGTTTAATACTTTATCTCCTCAAACCAATTTTATTTAAATCTTTAATAAAAACTAATCTTTGCTAATAATTATTTGGAAGTAACCTGTTAAGTAACGGCTTTCAATATTATAATGTTGGCTTTGGAAGAAAAAAATTATTAAAAGCATGCAATAACCATTTCATTCAAAAATGTTTAAAAGATGGTTGCAAAAATGTTCCAAATCTCTTCCAATACATTTCATTGTTTACTTTAATAAAAAACGTTATCCAGTGAGTGAAATGAAAATGAAACAATAACTTTTGATCAAATAATTGAATTCTTAATTATTAAGATTCACTCGTAAAGGTTCAAAGGGCTATCCTTAAATCTGGGGATAAATTTGTGAATACAATTTTCTTTTCTTTTTTTTTATACAAATTCATATTCAAAAGCGGATTTTCTTTGAAAAAATACGCTTTTTTTTCAACGCATTTGAATTCTTGACCCTCAACATATGTGGTGTAGTTGCAATCTGAAAAATATTGTCCAAAAAGTTTAATTGAAAAAGCGGTGGAAATTTTGGATTCTTCAATATGAATTCGTGATCTCTTGTAATTAAGATTGCTCCTTTATACGTAAAAATCTTATCATTATATCAAAGTTGACAAGACGTTCCGCTTTATATTTTGTGTACTGTGCACCATGTTGCTCAGTATCATTCTCCTTAAGCTACGATTCATTTAATTCTGATAATTGGATATGTTCCTATGCTTTCTTTGTTCCAAGATATGGGAGAAAACGCTAAATATGATTTCTTTTGTTTCCATTTTAAAAATGGCAAACCCCATTTTCACTAGCAAAAAAAATTCTATTTACTCTTTCTTTTGATATAACCCCAAACGCATTTCATGTGAAGGGTACTGCATTGTCATTAAAAAATGCAAAGTATATATTTATTTATTTTTTAATTTAGGTATTTGCGGCTTCCCAGGGAAAAAAGTCGGGTCAGGGTCCAAAGAACCGACAGGAACTTCTCGAAGCACGCCATCAGGAATTACTGAAAAAACAAAAGCAACTCCAGGAGCAATATACTCGTCTACAACAGATTCAGCGAAATCAAGTCTTTTCTCGTCTCGGTGGCAAGACCGGGGATCTTAAGAAAACTGGTAGCGAGTCCAACATTCTTTCTAAAGCTGGACTACTATCATTGACCACAGCTTCCGGATCAATGCAACATCTTGCTGTTACAGGGTCTATTTCGAATCCGATCACCGGGTCAAAGTCATCTCCATCTTCTTCTCCGAACCCTAGTAAAGGTGGTGCTCACAGTCCCGCGAGTAAAATATACGAGACCGATATTCTTTGAATTCATAAATTGGTAGTTTTTCTTAAAGAAAGAAAAACCGAGAGATGTATTTTCCTAGCATTCATCGACACTATTAGAGCGGCAGACAGCATATAGCTGCTAAGCCTAACGTGTCGTCATGAGGAGTTTTGAAATAAAACACACTTTGAAGACAAGTTATATAGAAATTTTTAACATTACGGATATAAAGAAATTGGAGGCTAATTTCTGATACAGAAATATATAAATATATACAAATATATATATATATGAACTTTGCAGGGGCGCTTTTTCCATTTATTGTAATGACTCTTTTAGACTTTAGCTGATAATTTGATAGAATACTTTTTTAAGAAAACAAGATTTTCTTTTGCTTTTGAAACCAATTCTGGGAAAAATAACCCACCGTCGCTTTAGGAAATTTAGTTCTTTTATTGAATGTCAAGTAATTTAAAAAATACAGATTCTTTTCTTAGATGAATAACTTGGTTTAACACTGACTTTAGTCACAGAAGCAAATAAGCCTGCGACCCTTCTATACATTTTAAATCCCCAAACAGAAATTGTGCCAAAACCAAACAAGGTGTGAGAGCTCGCTAAACTTTGATTTGAATATTAAATCTGGACTTAGTTATATGTTAAAATAAGTGTCAATAACTAATTAGTCTGAGTCGCGACGGTTAAGGGGCTGAGATGCCATTGTGAATGTACGGGGTTCTGTTCCTGGTGGTGACTTGAAGCCCACCCAACTTCTGATCGATAAATACCAGCTTGTCTATGAAGTGAAGGCGGCCAGTGCTGACCTCATTTCCACCATCATGCTGTTTAATACTTGAATGTGTGAAACCCTATCTTCTATGACCTCCCTGTTTGACAACTGCCTAATTAGTCATTACACTTATTTTTTTCATGAAATATTTAACATTATTTTTATGATGAAGATTGAATATGAATTACACAGAGATCAAAACTATTGTTGTGTTTTATTATCGTATTCTAGTCTAAAAAAAGTATTATATGTTGTTGATGTATCAAAAAAATATGAGAAATTCTTGTTATGTCTAAGAACGTCCTTTAATAACATTTATGTGATTTAAATTGCTTTTTTAAACTCCAAATCATTTGTAATGGCTGCGTAAAAGACGGATCTGCATTTCTACGAATCGACAACCAAACACACACAGTACCCGCTTCCAAATATTTATACCCTCATTCCAGTTAACTTACGGTGCTACCGCCAGGAACGGGGACTGTTTTTATACTTGACGCGAGATGTTCTTTTATAAAAATAACAAAAGTAAATAATATGTCACTACAACAAAATATTCTTCAGCGGCGAGATTTGTTTTTTCCGAATTCGCCAGCTTGTGACGAGGGATCTTTATAGGAGAAAAGTTCCAGTTTTGTAGCTAGTTAAAGTATCTCCGTTTACTGTCACCAGGAGAAGTTTTATACATAGGCAAAAAAACTAACTATGAAAAAATACGTTAAATGACAAAATCATTTTTCTAGAAAAGCTTTTCCTGCTCTTCCACTAAATTTGTTCATTCAGTTTTCGCTCTGTCGAGAGTTAACAAATGCAGAAATATTTAATGATCTTAAATATAATTTGATAATTATTTCGCATTTCATTATTTCAGATTGAGTAGAAACTTTCTTCTTTTATCAGATTGAAGTATCACCCTCACATTTAAAGTGCAAAATTAGATTTTTAATTTAGCATAATTTATATGTTCTGTTCTATTTATAGCATAATTTCAATCCAGAAGAAACTTTCAAATCAACTTAATACCATTTCAACCCAGTGCAACTCAGGTGTAAAATGTTTTTGAGAATAATTTTGGCCTTTGTCTTTTACTTTATATTGGACCTCGCTCTAAATTATACTCATATGAGTGATATTATAAGTGATTTTTATCATTTCTCGATAATTCAGAATTTTATTTTAAAAATTGAAGTCATTAGAACTTACATTATAAATAGTGTACACTGCTTGTGAGGCTTGCAAGAAAAGAACATAAAAATAGAAAAAAAATTCGAATTTTTGCAAACCGATATTGCGGATAAATCAATTTTTAAGTAAAAGTTTCGTCTAGAAAATAGATTATAACTATCACTTAAACTTCTAAAGTAATAAGATTGGTAAACTAATAACTATAGTATTGATGACTACTAAACTATTTCTAAATACATTACCCTTTATATTACGTATTTAAGACTAAAAATGCCAAAGGTTTAAAAAAAAAATGTGATAATGAATTAATTTTCATATTCTGGGAAGCTTAAACCATGAAGGATTCCTTTACCAAAATTCTGATCTCGACAGTTCAGAACTATTGCGACAGCAGGGAAATTATTCGAGCTCAATGTTCGAAAGAAGAAACAGCTACTCTCTGTCCACCTTAAGAAGACGGTTGACTTTTGAAAAGCTCATTTCAACGCGGGGGTGTCATTGCGTTGTAGAATTGGTATTGGCGCAAAGCTTTTCCCCCGTCATCTATCGTTTCCTGTATCTTCCTTCGCAACCTCTGTTTCAACGAATGGACTCGTACCATTTTGTAGCTTTCAATCGTCTTCTTACTGTGAACAGGCAGTATTGTGTGGCTGTTAAGAGAACTCCTCCAGACATCAGTCTCACGCGGTGGCGGTTACTATGGTTACGAGAGTGAGTCACTTCGGATAGGGGTGTGGAGTGAAGAGTGTTGACTTGATCTTAAAACAAGTCTGCTCAAGAATCTTTGTTTTGAGAAATTGACTTCTTTATTCCTTCAATGCACTCCCATAAAAAACGTGCTCTTTCTTGTTACCATAGCGGCAAACAGCCCCTGACTTTTAGTCTGGAGGAGTTCTCTTTGAAGCTAAACAGTATTCTTCTTTTCCCTTTTTATCACTATCTTCTGCATTTGTTGACTTGGCGAAATATGGTATGCTACACTAAATTGACGTGTAATTTTCACCATTTAGCATTTTGTACAAGGAGCGTCGTGTATATTGATAATTCGAAAATTTAGAACTTTATTCCTCTCAGCCGGGCTGCGCTAGATGTTATTTATTGTACAGATGAAAAACAAAAAGCAGCTACGTTTTTTGCTTTAACTTATTAAGTTTCTCTTGTACAAACATTTTAGCTTACTTATTTTAATTAGTAGATCGTTTTGAGGCATTTTGGGTGCTGTAACAGAAAATGCGAGTATAATAATCGTTAGAAACCTTTATAAAGCAAAAGAAAATTTACGAATTTTGCTCAAATTTCATCTAAAACATGTTGCAATTTATTTAAATTTTATAAGCATCGAACCCTAAGAATTGTTGAATAGATATATAAAATGATGTTTCTAAAAACTACTATTTTTTTGTTAATAAAATTAAATTATTATTTTTTACATATACAAAAAAATTAAGCTTCAAGAAAAATAATTTTAGAAGGATATGAGATAATTAAATGTAAGCTTTACAAAAGTAGTTTTAAGTTAAATAAATCCTTCATTTATTAATTTTATTAATTATTAATTATTTTCTATTGCGTGATTACTACTTTTATTATTCAGTATTTGTATGATTGTAACTTTTTTATAAATTTTTATTAGATTTTGTTTTGTTTTTTCATAATTTTAATCATCGTTGCTTATTTTTTCTTAAAAAAATGAGGTGATAATTATTTTATTTACTTATCATTGGGCGAGTTTTGTGACATGTAGCTAATGGAGTTCACTTTGAATCTCTACAACTTTAAAGTTGTAAATACTCGCTCGACAGTTTATATTTTGTGTAATTTAGTTTAAAGTTTCTAAATAACAACATGATTCTTTACATGATAAAGAATTATTTTTCATTTTTTAAGAAAAAGGAAAATATAGAAGGACACATTAAAAACTCAACGAACAATAATCCGAAACTTAAGAACTAATCCTACTCTACCAGATGAACCAGTCTAAACTGTAAAAAAATCCGGCTCAAATTTAGGATGACGGTACTTTTTACCATAAAATTAAATTTTGCAGGCGCAATTATACGGAACAAAAAAATCTGATATACGAAATTTTTTTCAGTATATGAAATATATGAATTATATTAGAATATCTCTAAAGTAAATATTACTTTAAAAATTCCTTGCGTTCAGTGAACTTTTTCATCTATCAACAATGGTTTCAACAATTTATGGCACGCTTCTCATGTCACTCCTCCATGTCACAAACTCGTCAAATATATATTTTTTATCAGGTTTTTGTTGTTATTTATTTACAAGCATTATATGCAACAATGACAACTTTTTACAAACGAAATGAAATGTATATTTTCGAATCTAGCTCATTCAAATCTAGCTGGATTTCGAATCTAGTTTTTATTATCTAATTGTTTTAAACTACTTCATGAACAAAAAAAAATAAAAATTGTGTGTATTCGTATGAGGGTTCGAAGCAATTTGTGATTGTACAATATTCAAATGATAGACATTATAAAAAACTGTTCAAATGATCAAATGTCGTTTTTATGTCTTTCAAAGATTAATTAAATTAAATCTGGAGTTTATGAAACATTGACATATCTGAATAAGAAATGTTGATTGAAATTAGATATTTATGGCGCATAAACCTGTTAATATAAATAAAATGTCTGTTGCGCACTCAAAATTTTGTTTTGTGTTTATTTGTATTATAAAGACTCACATTAAACTAAAAACGCTCAAATAATTGAAAATGATAGTAGTATTTTTGTTTCAAAAACTCTGACGTCATTTTCTCTCGCAAAAATCCTAATGGTAATTCTGAATTGAGTTTCCTCTTATACACTAAAAAGATTAAAATATTTTTTGCCGTTAGAATAATCACTCGTTTTCAGCACATTGTTTTTTAAAACTTTATTTTTTTAAAGCGACAAAAAAAAGATAACCAATAAAATTTAAAAAAATAATATTTCGAATAATAATAAACTGGCAAACTTTTTACGAAAATATTTTAAATCATTTTTTAAAGATGCCGGTTTTTAGAAGTACATTTGAATTCGCTATTCTCTTTATAATTTTACATTTTGTGTTTTATTCTGTATTTTTCCAGAATTTTTATTTTCTATTTTGGATTAATATGTTTTATCTTGTATTTTTTTTCCTTAATTATATTCTATTTTCGTTTCAATTTTTAGGTGCTCCTCACACTATTGTATTTATATATTTTGCTTTGGCTATATTAATACAATGTTAGAAAGCACGCTTTTTTGTGGATATAATAATGTGAGCTAATGAAGATGATGAGATTATATTTTTTCGGTTTTTTTTCTGTTTTCTGGCCTTTTAGTATCATTTTCTTAATACTTTTTTATATTTTTTAAAAAATATTTCATTTTAATAATGTTTCTTTTTCTCTTTTTATAATTCTTTATTATTTTTCATGTTTTCTCTATATTTTTAACTTATTGATATACATATATAGATATCAATTTTTATTTCATCTTTGATAAATATTTTTGTTTAATTATAAGGTAATTAATGAAAACCAATATTTTATAAAAAGTTCAGTTTTATTAAATCTATGAATGTACAAAATTATTATACACTGATTTATAAATTTATGAAAAGTTACGGATACAGCAATACATAATATTTATTTCTTTACTTCACAGTTTTTAAATATATGGTATTTTCTATGTAGTTAGAATTTTAAATAATTGAAAAAAATATATTATTTGCTCTTAATTAATTTTTTTATTTAACATTTATGAAATACGAAAATGAGGAAAACTCAACAGGACCTATAATTCTGTGTGAAACTTTCTTTCATTATTTGAATCATCCAGTTCTGCATTTCGATCATCAAACGCATCATCTCGATCCTCCGTTTCCTCATCTAGATCCTCCGTTTCTTCATCTACATCCTCCTTTTCTTCGTCTAGATTCTCCGTTTCTTCATCTAGATCCTCCGTTTCTCCATCTAGATCTTTCGTTTCTTCATCTAGATCCTCCGTTTCTTCATCTAGATTCTCCGTTTCTTCATCTAGATTCTCCGTTTCTTTATCTAAATTATCTGACTCATCATCTGAATTATTACACTCATCATCTAAATTATTACACTCATTATCTAAATCCTTGCACCCATCATCTAAATCATCACACTTATCATCTAAATCATTACACTCATCATCTGTCTTTTCACATAAGTCATTTGTTTCTTCATCTGAATCATCGTAATTAAGAATACTTTTCTTTAATTCATCAAGATTTTTCAAGGAACTTGACTTTGGCTCAAAGCTTTTATTGCCTAAAAAAATTATAATATTATGATCAAGAAATCAAGAAAAATAAATTAAGAATCGCAACACAATCTTAAAATTATCACTGTTTCCAATTTTATTAAATCAAGCATGGTTTTTAGCTAATCATAACGAATCTATTATAGTATTGAAGAACAGCACTTCTCTGTAATTAATCAACCTTTTTCAAAAAACTTGACTTTGTTTAAAAGTTTTTATTGCCTAAATAATTTTTATAATTTTGCTATCAAGAAAACTAAATAAAGAATTCTAAAATTGTTTTAAAATTATCACTTTCGCCAATTTTATTAAATTAAACATGATTATTATCTAATCATACTGAATCTATTATTGTATTGAAGAACAGCACTTCTCTGTAATTCATCAACATTTTTCGAAAAACTTGACTTTGTTTATAAGTTTTCATTGCCTAAATAATTTTTATAATTTTACTATCACGAAAACTAAATAATCCGAAAATTGTTTTAAAATTATCACTTTCGTAAATTTTATTAAATTAAACATGGCTATTAACTAATTAGCAAAGTATTGTAAACAAGCATTATCATTATTTCTTCAATTGCAAATTATGGAAAAAAATATCTGTTTGAGCAGAATCATTAGCAATACTGTACAGGGTACTAAACACCTTTGTCTAAAAAAAATTATTTATCTTCCAAAGTACATTTATAAAACCCTCAATGTACATAAATTTTGCATTGTTTTAAATTTTACATTACATTTAATTTTACAGTTACATTAATTTTGAAAAGATATTTACAAAAATGCAAATTTTCTAGGAATCGTTACCAGTTTTTAAGAACCAGGTTATTATGAAACAGAAAGTACCGGAGCAGTTTTGTGTGGTCATATTAAATTTTATTAAAATATTGAGATGCCAAATACTAGGCACCATGGCAGCCAGAATTTGTAAACCCATGGTTTTATAGTATTAAATTCGCATTATTAATTTTACAATGATAACAACTTTCAATATTATTATTAATTTTTAATTTTACAGTGTTATTTACTTCACAATGCTCTCAAACTTACTTTTTAATCAATTTTACAATAAAAAATTTTTACAGTATCATTAATTTTACTATACTAGCTATTTAACAACACTATGAACACATTTTTCACATGCTTTAATCTGCGAACTAAATTAGGTATAAAAAAAATTTTGTGAAGCGTCCCATATTAATGTTCAGAATCATAAAACTTTTAAATGGTATAATGGTTCTTTTCACACAAATTAATTGATTTTATTTGTATGTGTACATTACTAATGTATATTACTAAAGTAATTTACGTTAAATAAGTTACGCCAAGGAAAAGTACGTTATTGAAATCGTTATTATAATCATTAGTTACTGTATAGTATATATGGGTGATTCTTTTCAAACACGACAATTCGGACCAAAAAATTTCTGCAAATTTAAAATCTTCAAAGTAATCTAAAATTTTTTTGTATACTTCTTTAGTTACATTTATTAATATCTAACATACAGCAGTGTAGTTTATTGACATTTGCTCGAGAGAAAAAATAAAATAGAAATTCACCAAATCTTGAATGCCAGGAAAATGACATATTAGCCTAGAAGTTTAAAAAACAGTCATTTTAAGTTAATAATAAGTAACTCAACTTAATCCTCTATGTTAGATGGACCATAAATTTCTTATATTAATTCTTTTTATCCACTGTAGAAAGAATCAAATTTTTTGTTGTTGCTGATATGTACAGAATAAAATTGTGTATAATAATCAATCATTAAATAAATAAATAACTTTGATTACATCCAACCATATTACAATCATACATAAACTTGATATTAGGTTAATATTTGCTTTTCCTCCTTACAGTATTAGCAGTTAAAGAAATATTTTGGTAACACTTCAATGTCCTGAGATCCATAAGCCAGGATAATGACAAATTAGCCATTTTATAGCATATAACTTTACTTTAATTTAATATTTTGGCCTAAGACGTTTACATTCTGCAGAAAACAACAGCATTTCTTAAAGTAACTCAGATAAATCTATGTAGTTATTAATGATTTCAGGAAGCCAGGAAAATGACAACACAAAAGCCTACTCATCTTGAAAAATCTTTTGAAATAGATTTTGAACCAGATAATTGGTTCTTTATTCATATAACAAGACGTATTCATATAGGAGGGTATCTAATCAATCTATTAACATAAGATATTGATTGCTGGCTCTATCTATTTTGTTTATAAAATACTAAATAAAAGTAGCCAGGAAAATGACAGATTTTCTTGGGACAAACAAATTATTGACAGAAAAAATTATTTTGAACGAAGTTTTTGTAAATAATGCCCTCTGCGTATATTCTAGAAAAGTTTGCACCAGTTGAGATAAAAAAATTAGATATTGAAAAAATTATGGGAAGTTTTGAAGCTAGTTATTATTAGAAACATTGCTTGGGACATGCCAGGAAAATGACATTTTGAAGTTCATTTAAATTTTTTAACTATACAAAACAGTCAATGCTAGTGCAAAGTCATTTTAAAATGCTAACAGCAATGCAATTTATTAATTTTTTTAAAAAAAAAGTACTTTTAGTATTATAGTATTAGATCTTGGAGCAAGGGACAGTGAATTGTCATATTTCGTGAGTATCACCCATATATATGCTATATTATCACCTATGGTATACGCATGTAAAGGGGATTGAACAAACAACGTGATTTAAATTTTTGTGATTTTAATTACGAGAGGCTGGAAAAAATAGTGTTTAAAAGAATTGACAAGTAAAAAGCCTCTATCCACAAATGTTATAATTGTTCTATATTATGTATAACCTACCCGTCCCCCCCCGGCTCAAAAAAGAACGTTTGACTCATTAAAAAAAATTCAAAATACTAAATTTTTTTTTACAATAATCACATTTTTTGAAACCCTTCTTAATTTTTATTTGCCGAATAACTGTTTGACCGATTTCTATCAAACTTTTTTCTACTTACCATCATTGTCATTTCCATGAGAAGTATCTGCCATATTAGGTTTTTTCAATGATTCAGAAGATTCAGTTTCCTTTTCATCTTTTAAGGAATCAGATTCTATCACAGAGTCTGCATTTCGATTTTGAGAAATTTTTCCTGATCTATCTAACTTCTTGACTTCTGACTGATGATTCATTACAGGATGCATTAGAAGAGAAACTGAAATTTATATTTTATCTATTATTCAAAACGAAAGCTCCATGTAGATAAGCAGATATTAAATAAATTAATTTTCTCATATCAGAATTCGTTATTCAGACATTGTTTGCTTTAGGTTGGAGCTCGTTTTAAATGTATTTACATATTTATAATAATGTAATTGTTATTGTAGTTCATTTACGTCACACTAGAGCAGCACAATGGGCTATTGGCGACGGTCTGGGAAACATCCCTGAGGATGATCCGAAGACATGCCATCACAATTTTGATCCTCTGCAGAGGGGATGGCACCCCTGCTTCGGTAGCCCGACGACTTACACGCGAAGTCGAGCACTTTACGGTAGAACAGTTTAAGGAGGACCAATATCGCACACCCTCGGTCCCTACGCAGACTGATCCAAGTGGTCACCCACCCGCACACTGACCGCAGATAGTGATGCTTGACTTTGGTAATCTGCTGGGAACCGTGTCTTAACGATCAGTCCACTGCGGGACATAATATAATAAAACTAAAAAATGTGTTTAAAACTTCTGATCTGTCATTTAATTAATCAAAAACTATAAAAGAAATCAAAAAGATTTTATATGCAATAAAATATGCCTTGCATATATGAATGCTTTTCAATTTTTAAGTAACTTTTTGAAAATTAATTATGTTATTGAGTTGCGTTACTTATTAATATATTGAAGTCAGTTGAAAAATTGTTGAATCTGTTTTATTTCTACGAGTTTCAGTTTGTTCTTTAAAAAATGTCATACTGTCAAATTATGTGAAAATTGGAAAATTGTTTGAAAATGATATCTATTATCGTCTTTCTTCGGTGAAGACAAAACATATATATTGGACCGGTCTTGGCTATAGGTAATTATACATAATTTCGGAAATCGGCCGATATAATTGGAAATGATATTCCTAGTCATTGTAAACAATTCCAAACGTTTTTTTTCTTCTTATTGCTAGCACAACAATATTTTTATTTTTCATTAAGGGGATTTGATTTAGGTGAAATATAGATAATATTTCTCAATTTCATATTTTGCATAAAATACAATGTACTGAATACAATGCCGGAATTATCCAATATACCTTTACGTATGTAACATAAATTAATTTTCTCATTTATTAAACTGATACATATATCTTTATCAGAACTATTTTTCTGTAAGCAGAAATTAAAAATAAAGCCTAGTTTAATTTCATTTGAAAAAAACATTTAATTCTTGCCAACTCTGCCATAGTTAATTAAATCAATAGATTAGGTAGAAAGTAATCTTTCAGTTATAAAATTAATATCATTTTTAATGCCAACGTGGAGATCTTATCAAGATAGTGAAAAATTTCACATAAAAAAAACTAATTAAAATCATTCCCTTCTTGTCTGTTTACTTTAATTTACGATCTTTTTTATTAAGAAAAAAAAGATTATTTATAAAAGACTCACCAATTTTATTACTTACCAACAAGAGCTAGAAGAAAAATATTCATTCTCTCATTTTCACTCATTTTAGTAATTTACTTTTAATTTCAAATAGCAGGTAGAAAAAATTTATTTTTAAATTAATCGCTATTATATTTTACACGATATATTTTTATCCAAAGCGTTCTCTAATACCTTAATAATGCCAGAAGTTCAAAGATTCATGAATCGCAAAAAAATTGTCTTTTACTTTAATAAAAAAGAAAGGTGCTGTCAAATAAGGTATCAAGGGAACAATTAACAACAGCTGCAATAACTGTAGATTGAATTCTTCGAAAAATTTTCAAATTGAGAATTATGCATTCATGGAAAAAATATCTTTTTAGGTCTTTCAACTTTACCTTTTGAAGAAAAAGTTCTCATTTTCAAAAAAGCGAAAGAGAAAAAAAATAGCATTAACTTGTAGTTTTTTCATATCGGATTAATATTTTATTCACTGTGAAAATGAAATTATTTTCATTTTCTTTACCATTTGTTAAATTCTAATTAAATATGCACCTTTCAAGAAGCTAGAAAAATGTTTTTTTCAACAGCTTATAATATTTTTCTCAGTCTTTACCAATAGTTATATCAATACTTATATGAGCAATTAAAGTCTATAAATAAAAGCGTAAAAGATGTCTCTCCTTATAAATAAGCTGTTTAATTAAAAATAATGTCCCTAATCATGAATACGTGAGATGTCTCTTTATTTTCGGATTTTATTTTATTACATAATGATGATTAAACTCTATGTTGGTTAGTAAAGTGAAAATATGCATTTTAGAGAAAAACCATTTAATGATAGGGGGGCTTCATACTTATCGTTATTTAATGTTTTCCGTTAGTATGACAATGATTCAAAATTTAAAAATATTTCGTCTCCATCTGTAGTTTTCTCAACTTTTCGCAACATCAAGTTTTTCTCAACTTTTTTTTCAATTTTTGAGCTTAAGCGTATTTTTTTTTTCTTTTAATTTTCAAAACCCACTTCGTCATTTTTCTTATTTAATTTCAAAAATGTGATCTCTATCTATAAGATATTTTTTTTACTTCACTGCACTTTCCCTGTCCTATTATTCATTGCCCTTTATATATCTTTGAATTTCAAAAATAAAATAAAGACAATCTATTGTTATTATTGATCGCAAAAAAATTCTTGCAAGAAATATAAAAATGATTTCCACAATGAGAAAAATATTCTGGTTAAATTACTATACTTGTATGATAAAATCACTTCTGCTAATATAGAAAAAAAAACGATAACTCTAATACTTAAGAAAAATATACGGCATGCATTTGGTAATTTTTTCGTTTGTTAAGATTTCGATTTACCTGAAATTCTATTTTTCAAAATACCTCTTATTACCACATATTTATTAAAATACAAAGGTGAAAAATAAATTTAACCAAATAAATGATTTTTATGTCGTGCTCGAAAGTATCGCGATAAAATTACCAACATTTTCTTCTAAAGTCGAATTATAATTGACCATACCATAATTTTATCATATGATTGACAATTTTAACCTTTTGATGTCTATCTCTTACCAAATATAATGGTAATAGTTTGTATTGTTTATTAAGAATGCATTATTGAAATAGTTAATAGGAGTTATATAACGCTTAATTATTTCTTTTCTAATGTATTTCGTACTTATAACACGAAGAAGCGGGAAATGGATGATAGCTTAAAATGTTTCATCAAATTGTTCCAAAGATACTTATTTCAAATATATCGAGTTATGGTGTCTGTTTTATCCATTTTTATGAGAATAGTGAGATTTATTTATTCATTCACGTGCGCGTATGGGTTTCTTTGTAAGTTCGACAAAGATAGCAAAATATATATTTAGTGTTATAACGGGAATCGGCCCTACTACAACCACGCTCTAGAGCCGTTGCTGGAACAGTGATACTGCACGACGAGGAAGATCCCTAGAATATGTTGCAAGTGAAACAACTATACATTTTTGGGGTCTGGGTATTGTTGGAAGAAGGATTATAGTCCTTCTGGAAAATGTAGAATTAGCGGATTCGATATCTTTCCGCTGTCTTTCTCATTTTCGTGACATGTGTTCTTCAAATTGGCAAGAGACAAGCCATTCTTTGCTTTAAATACAGTACTATGTATCTGTATCTAAGCAAAATTTATTTATTAATTGCCATACATTCAATTATTACTGTTTGTTTTGAACTGGTTACCACCATTTTGAAGGTAGAAAAGCGAAATCGTACTGTCCAGAAAGTATATTTAAAGCAAATAATTTTTAAAAAAAATATTACTATTTCAAATATTTATTAATTTGTTGTTATATACTTACATATGCAGGGTTGTGTGCTCATTACAAAGTATTACATATTTTTAGCCCATGTCCAGTTGTAGAGCATATATCACAAGTTAGAAAAGGGTATTACAAAGATCCTTCGATCGTAAAGTAGAGATAGCGGGTTCGAATCTTTCCATATCCATGGATAAATCCTTACGATATCCTTCTCTATCTTGTGCTATGTGTTCTTCGACTTGAATATCTAATAAGCCGAATTTTGAAAGAAGCACACAAGCCTGTATATGTATGGGTAACAATAAATTAATAAATAAGCCTAACAATAAATAAATATAAATAACTAAGTTGGGATGAGATTTAATCCCACCTCCACACTTCCATTTTATGATGTTAGGACAGCTCGAAACCATTTTTACTTGATTTTTTTTACATATATAATCTGTTACATTAAAATCGAAAACTGTTTTTCATGATTTTGTCTCCTCTGCCCCTTTCATTGCTTAGCTTCTTCCTTTAAAATATGTTTTATGTCATTTTTTACTTACTGCAAGCATATCGGTAAGATTAATTGCTCCAACAAATGTATTTAAAATGTTATACTAGATTATGTTTAAAAAGTCTGTATGTAAGTTACGTAAAACGATACGATAAACATTAATCATTTCATGTCTTGGCAATTTTTTTAATAGCTATTCCATAAAATGCCTAGGTTTTAAGTAAAACATTAGTCATTTCATTCTTTTCTGATCAATTTTAGGCAATCTGTACAATGACTAGGCATTTCACAGAATGCCGGATTTCAGGCCTTGACTTTAACTTATCCATTGCTTTTACTTTTTATTTTAAAAAAATGGTTTTTCCAGATAGTTTTATTTATTTACAATTTGGGTCATCTTCAAGATTTTTTCCCAAATGTTATCCAAGACAAAAAAGAATTTATATTATTGAGATGTGATTGCCTTACTTTACGTGAAATAGATATGCGTATAACTATCCTACGATAATCTACATAAACAAATTCTTCAATCTGTAGTTAAGCTTATTACAGTAGTGGAGCGTTGTATACGTTGGGTTGAAGGTATGATCTTTTTCCACGCTTCAAAAAAAGAGTGCATTGCATTTTTACACCCTCTATCATGAGTAAAAAAGATTTTTTTCTTTAAATTATTTTTGTGATTGCTTCTTTCTTCTGATCCGTGCTTTAAATGGTTCTAAAAGAATTGCATAAAATAATAGAAAAATAAACAACACTACAATCAATAAAATATTATTTAATTAGTGTTTATACTTAAATATACAAACAAGACTTTTGTAAGAGTTTCATTCAAATTTTTTTAAACTTATTATTTCCAGACCTTAACCTTCATCTTCATATTTGTGAATGTTCTTTAAATTACCTAGAAATTAAAAAGAAACAATAATATCCTATAAATATATGCAGTGAACAAAAAGTCATATTAATAAAGAGAACACTCTAGCGAAATTACGCTAAATAAAAATTTAAAAGTCGTTACTCTCATTACTCATTCACGCACTAAAATAGTTTATTTGTTAACACAAATTTCGCCATAATGGAAAAAGCTAGATTACAGAAAACAATTATCGAAAAATTTTCGAAATTTCTTTCTACCTGAAAACCGATGTGTAAGTTATTTGAAAATTCTTAGCTTTGCCCAAAATCTAAAGTTTGCTTCCTCCCTATGTAGGCTTTAGCCGTCATCTTGGATTTACTTAGAGAAAGAAGACCAAACAAAAATAAACTTAAAAAAACTTGAAAAGAAAAGAGACTAAATTTATGCGTAAGCTATATATATATATACAAAAACCTTATAACCCCAAAACTATTAATCCAGTCTTCTTGAAAATTCAAAATGGCGCCTAAAGCTTAAAAATCAAACGTCTAAGGCTTAGCGTCTAAAGTTTAAAATTCAAAATGGCATCTAAAAAGAGTCAGCTATTAGATGCTCATATTTGATTTAAAACAAATCTTTCAAAAGAATTAAGGGCTTTTTCTTAGTTATTTCTATTTTGAGCTTTTTGTATTGACACAGTTTGTATTAACACACAAAAGGCATTATAGAAAAAATTTTAATACATAAAAACTTTGCATAGGAAAATCAGTTTTATAAATTAATTTTAGAAAAAACATGCTATCGAAACAAAAAATTGAGGCAAAATTTCATTTTATTTAAAATGTTTTTTTTTTCCTATGTCACAAATTAAATATTTTGCTACCAGATTAGCTATCATTTTTTGCAATTTCTTAGCCTAATATAACTAAAATTTGCTCCATGGAAGTTAAACCTAATTTTTGTTTTGAATATATATCAATAACTTTTTTTTCATTTCACTTTATTCAATAATTTTGAATAAAGTGATGTAGCTTCACTCTTAAATCGTTCGAATAGTTCCTGAGAAATCGCATTTTAAATTCGATTTTACTGGAACTATTCGACAATTTTACACAAATTTTGTATTTAGCTGTATAAAATTACATTCTTTAAAATGATGCAAAAAATCCTGAACCTTACAATTCAAAATTTTTTCGACCATTTTAAAATAAAATAGTGAAAATAATGAATATTTACTAAAAGTTATTTTTTACATGGAATCATCATTGGATAAACGGGTTTTAGAATTGTGGGCAAAACATTTTCATTTCTCTTAAGACATACTCGAGATATAACGAAATACGCGAAAAGTAAAATTAACATTAAGGGGTACAAACTTTGGAGCGCTCTCCGGACTAAACTATTGGGACCATATTTCACAGATTGCGGTTACCTCTTATATTTTGGGGGTCAGATATCCGAATCCGTAGAAAAAAAGGTATGCTTATTCAGAGAAAGTACACTTTTTTAAGTGATTTCGTAACTTAAAATATCGCCTGCACTTATTAATTAGCATATTTGAAGTCACACTCTCGAGCCATTAAGATGGAGTCCTAGAACGTGAAGATCCGATGATGAAATCAAAAATTATACAGGGTGATCCGCTTTTTTTCAGCGCATTGTACGTTAACGTTCCTTAAAGTTACAAGTTAAAATTGTTTGTAACATTTTTACAAATGCTTTTAATCTCAGCAACTAAATATTTTGCTTCTAATTCAGGGAACATCTCTGACAAATGTTTGGCAATTTATTTGAAAGGTTCTTCATGGAAACTGAATCATTTTTGTTTTGTTTTGGTAAGGCCAGTAATTTTGTTTACTTCGATATATTCTAAGGTTTTTGAAGGGCTAAAATAAACTTGCTGTTCTGAAAATCAATCCTGATGTCTGTCATTATTAAAAAGACATCAAAGAGATATCAAAGTCAGAAGCTGAACTAGATCAGTGTTCCCCTATCATTCAAACAATTTTTGTTTGCGCAATTGTTCGAAAATTCGTATCCCTATTAGTTGCATCTGTAACTTATTGATTATTGATGGATTTCCAATGGACACGTAAGGAAAGCGACGTCATCTTAGATATCTCTATAATGAAGACTCGGACATGATTCATTTTAGCAATGTGATAAAGTTATCGCAAAATTGTATGATATTATACATCAACGCACTCCAAAATTTCTATGTATGTAAATGCCTTAAAACCTTTTTTTTTCTAAAAACAATCAACAAAAGTGACAATTCTAAACTGTGAGACATTTTGGAGAATGTTGAGTTTTGGAGAGTGTAAGGTTGAAAAACATTATAGGATATATTAAATTAAATTATCTTAACTTGGTGACACTATACCAATGGTCACAGCTTTAACGTGGTCCACTTTGGTTCCTTAATAAGGTTACAGAAAACTTGCACGATATTCATATTATCAATTTTATGCTAGTTTTTTGTTTCAATGTTTCTCTGAATAAAAAAACGCCTGATGTATCAACAATGAAACATAACGTTTATTAAGCTTAAAATTGCTTACCTTTTTATTCCTTTAAAATCGAGATTCACCGTCGGTCTCAATTTTTCCCCTCAAGTTCTTTAATTACGTACGCCTTCCCTCGGCGATCTCCATAATAATCTAAAAAAGCAACATTAAAAATAAAAATAATGTTGCAGAATTCATCGTTAACACATTTTTTGTGTTAATGATGAAACTATCAAAGCCTAAATTAGCAATATGATTATCAGTATAAGAATATCATTTTATCCTGTAGACTAAATTTACAATTTTTTTTTAAATGATGACCAATTTTATTAAAATGTTTCATTATTTTGTTCTAATGATTGAAAACGTTTAGCTCATTCTAAAAGGCACTTGTTTTAATCAAGGGCTGAATAATAAGATGCTGATAAGAATTAGGGAGACCTTGTCCCCATTTAATCTACATAACCAGCCACATAAGCAAGAGAGGCATTCATTTTGTGAAGTGAAAAGTTTAACTATTAACCAATCTTTTAGCCAAAACGTAAACATCTGTCTCAACTGGTTTATTTTTATTTTACTTTTCGCACACAACACCACCTTTCACGCATACAGAGTTATATTGATAATATAACTCTGTATTTTATGCTGATATTTTATACTTGCTGATATTTTAATCTCCTCTTACAAAATATCAAATCGTAATTGAATTGGTGAAACCACTCTCCTGGTAATGAAAATTGGATAATATGGTTACGTGGAAATCAAGATTCCTCAGAAGTTTTACTCATCACGCGTTGTCCAACATTCCAAAGCATGCTTTTCATTAGTGTTTTTAATAAGCCTAGTGGTACTCGGCTTGGATGGAAATGACATAATCAATTGTTGCACCCCTTCATTCGAAGAGCTAACTCATCCTAGAAAATCTCGATATTATTTAGATCTAAGCTCTAAGCAGAGCAATTCATTCTCTCACAACATGGTAACTAGTGCTGCCATTGTCCTGAAAGTAATATGTATCTAAAGCCTAAAAGTATTAACCGGCTTGCACCGACCGCAGTGCTGACGTGAAATATCCTCAGTGGTAGACGGATCATGGATTAGAGTCCCCTTGCCATCAGGCTAACCGTGGGAGGTTCTTGTGGTCCTCTTCTCCATGTAAAGTAAATGCGGGCTAGTTCCATTAAAAAGTCCTCCACGAAGGCAAATTTCTCCCAATACTTGATCAAGGAGTTCCCTTGTCTCCTGAATTGGGTTCAAAATTACAAGGCTACGGAGTTGAGCATTAGTAGTCGTAAGGCCAAAATCATTGGGTCGGCTGTTCAACGACGGTTATAATACAAAATAAAAATGTTCAATATTGACCATAAAATAAGAAGATCCTTATCGGAAAGAAATGTTTCAGAGTGGGAATTAAGTCTACCAATAACGCGTGCAAACCCACTGAACAGCTTTTGCGGTTCCAGTTCCTTTTGAATTGTTCATGCTTGAGTTGCTCGTTCACCATATGTGAAAAATTGAAATCTAAATCCCAAGTTTAAGCATTTGTTTTTTGCAGACCTACTTTGTAGATTTGCGTTTGTTTACATGAATCAAAACTCTCTGGGATTTTCCTTTTTCGAACAGAAGGTTCTGCGACGACAATTCATAGCACACTGTTTGTCGGAGGGCGATTCGTCATTAGCACAATTCCTCACAGAGGCAATTTACCTGAGCAAGACTCGCTACAGAGACAATTCGTCGTGGGCTATATCGACGCAGAAAATATTAGTCGTGGCCAACATAGGCACCACACGTTTATAGTTTGTCTAAGCTAAAAACTCTTCCGGCCGCAAAGTCTGTGGACGTCTGGTGGTATGGAAACAAGAATGGCACATTTTAGGGGGGTAGCTTCAGTATAGGTACAATAGACCAAAGAAAGAAATTACCTTTCTATCGCGACCCGAGCCGAAGCCACTCCAAAACAGTGACCCCACACTCCTACTCAAAATAGTTATACCTCGTTACCATAGTCACCGCCACAGGTCCAGACGAATGTCTGGAGGAGTTCTCATTTTAAAATAACACATGTGATAGCGTAGAGTCATCACATATCAGGGGAATGGGGCAGACTTGCTTCCTCTTACCAAGAGAAACTCGCCCGAATTCCACTTTCATCCATATGCATGAGTGTCCTAATACTTATTGGTAGGTATCATTATAATAAATAATTATATAAATAATTAACCAAAACAGAATGAAAATAAAACAAAAAGAAGTGTCACTACTCTTACGTCCTCTCGAGAGTGTTTTACTTCCGAAAGACTTAGCACAGTGTGGTAAAGGTGGGTCCCAATTTCCATTGGTATCACATTCATGCCACTCTGTTTCTTTGCCTCTGCCGCAATCTATATGGCACCGTGGTCCGTGATCCATGAATCCTTCCATGCATTTTCCTTCACCACCATATAGCTTAAGTTTGAATTTGAGATGAGCTGCCCAAATAAAATAACTTGACATGAGTTGTCATGAATAATACATTCAAAAACAAAAATCGTTCGTTACTAAAAAAAATTTAACAATTATTAAAACTTTTAAAATTTGCAGCTTCTAACTTGAAAACAATAGATAGTTACACCGAAGAGCCATTACATTATGATCACCCTGCTAATAACATGTAGGACCACCTTTAGCCCTCAAAACTGCTAGCACCCGACTTGGCATTGATTCCACAAGGTGCTGATAGGCAGGCTGAGGCATTTGGTACCAAGCGCTCACCAACTGGTCCTGCAATTCCCTCACATTGAGAGGGGGTAGCATGGCAGAACAAATTTGGCTTTCCAAGTAGGACACAAATGCTCTATTGGTTAAGGCCAAGATATGACTTGAAAGTCACTGGAATGTTCCTAGAACCAACCCATGAGGATTCGACCCTTATGACATGGTGCATTATCCTGTTGTTAAGCACCATCCCCCGCTGGAAAAACTGTTGCCATGAATGGGTGAACCTGGTCTGCAATTATGTTCAAGTAGCTTACAGACGTCAGGGATTGTTCTATGAGGATTATGGGTCGTAATGTGCCCCATGAAAACATTGTTCCTGGACGAGAAACCATGAAAATCTGGGCGAGTCCATTGTTATAGATGGAGGGTGGTCATAATGTAATGGCTCTTCGGTGTAAATTTATTGAAATCCATTGAATAGGTATGTTCTAGCTTAATGAGAGTAAATAATCTTTAAATTTCGTTTCATCTGATTTTAACAATCACAGTTGCATCTTTGCTTACCATAAGAAATTTCTTGAAAAAAACTCTTATAGATATTTATTTAGTTGTTATTTTACCATATTCAACCAAAATAGTCAAATAATCATAACAAAAGATGGTATTTAAGCTGCTAATTATAAGGAAAATCATATAAAAGATCATACATCATAGTTGAGATCGCAAAAAATATTTTAGCACGATAAAAATAAAGGTAGTATCTAAAACTAACAAATCACTTTTGAGGAATGTTGAGTTGAAAACAAACAAAAAAATGTCAAAACCATTTTATAAATAAAAATCCCAATCAATTACCTAAGGAATTACAGAATATCCGTCATTCTTTAATAGAACCGAGACATTACTGTTGCCACCAAAAAGAAAGAAATAATTTAGCGTTTTTCTCGAGGTTACATTGGAGATTAAGTTTGAAAAAATTTTCCCTTTAATAACTTTTAATATTAAACTAATACTTACAATCACAATCTCTGATATGACTGGCAACTCCCCACCATCCTTTATTCTTACGACAAGTTATTTTTGCTTTACTTTTTCCATCCTTCAAATAAGCTCCATAAGCACAAACTTGCTTGCATTTTCTAAGAAAAAGAATGACACAATATATGCATAGCTAAATTTATGAATTGTAATATTTTTTCTCTCCCAGCACATAGGCTTTCCAAATGAAAAAAAAAAAGCTTTCCGATTTGGTTATTTATCCCCAGTTTCAACGGACAGATTTTAAGGGAATTCGATGGGGAGATACACATGAGATTTATGTATAGTTTTGTATAACACATACAAAATGAAATTAACTTTCAGCAATTAGAATACACACCCATTATCATGCGCGTTCTTTGGGGTAGGTTAGAGAATTGAGCAAAACTAAAACGACCATAGGACCGTTCCCACCAAATTTCCTTAAAAGCCATCCTGTAATTTGGAAGAAATCTACCAAGTCTGAATTTTCTATAATCTTAAAAATAAGTGTAATTTAATATTATTAAACTAATCTGCATAGAAACTTTAGCAATGCTCTTAGTGTTCAATGTATTGGAACATTTTTAAAAAATTCAATGACCGTATTTTGTGGGAATACTTGTAAATTCAAAAATTCTCACCAAAAATTTGAAAATCGAGCTCCAAGGGGCATAAATTTGAATAAAAATATACCTTCTTATTTGATTCGTAGAAAGTACCCTTAATTCTACATGAATAGATGCAAATATTAGACAGCAGCATAACTTTATTATACTGTTACGAGAAAAAATAAATATCGTAGAAAAAAAAATTGTTAGCTAATAACTTCTACAATAGAACTAAAATATCCACAAATTCATAAACACTCAAATTCCATAGTTTTATCTATTTTTCGGGTCATGTCTCTTTCACATACATTAAGAACTGTCTGAACCATTTAGAAGATTTTGCAAATGCCATTTTTTTCATGTAGTTAATTAATTTCCATTCTATTTAGAAATACGAAGAAATCTATAGGATCTTATACTCACATCGACCTTAAGGAGATGATACATCTCAGTTCTGAATGCTTCATTTTTTTGGGGAGATGACATTTCTTGGGACTAATTAACTCCTCTTGTAAGCTATGAGTATACATATAAGAATCATCTTCATCTGCTCCATATTCAAAATCTAAATCCAGGGGAGTTTTACGTGATATCCTATGATTGAAGTCTTCATTCGTCAAAGAATTAGACCAAATTCTTTCGTAGCTCTCTTTTTCTAAGAAAATATCAATTTAAACATCTTTGAAAATAATTATCTGAGAGAAATTATTAATAGCCTATTAATTCCCCGAAAAAAATGCCTTACTTATATGTGTTCTTCTGCTATGACCACTAAATGTATGTACACTTGAATTTTTGTCACAATAAAGTATACATAATATTAACACCTTGAATGCCAATGGGGGTCACCGGTGACCTATACTGTGTTTGTTCATAGCGCCACGGGGGTCACCAATGACTGGCGAAGCCAAGATTATTAGAAACACATAATTCGAGCAAATTTTTAATGCTTTCAATTTTTTTATATTATCATCATTACTAAAATGGTTTGAAGAAATTAATGCAATGTAGAACACACAAAAATTGTTTTATTTATATACACAGAGATGCCAACTTGCTCCGGACAGCACATAAATATTTTAATGTGGTAGTTTATTAATCCTGATTCTTGGTTTAATAAATTCAATTTAGTAGGTTTACATCCACCACTATTTCTAAACAATTCGCAGGCTTATATAATTCGTCACTTTTTTTCTGATATGTCATGCTAAACCTTTTCAAAAACTAGCAAAATCTGTCTAATATTTGCAAATTTAGTTTGTAGTTATTTACCGTTTGGCCAGATAGACAAGACATGTAAAATTAGCTTGGCTTTCAATGTGTTAACAACTTAATATTTAAATTTCAAAGAGAAAAACGAGACATGAATATATAAGAAAGAAAAATAAAGTTAAATAAATAATATGGTAATGAAATCTCTGGAATTGTTCTCGAGGAAAAAAGGGTGAAAAAATTTAAAACCAGTTTGTTGTCTGATAATTGATTTCAAGTTTACCTAACCTCTGCAAATCAACAGGCTTTGACTTTCTGAAAAGTGGTTTATGTCAAATTTATATGAATAAAATAATTTCTCTGCGCATATGATACATTATTAGAACCGTTACTTCTTGGTGCCTAAAAAATTATGAATTAATTTATCTTTTAAATCTAAACAGGAGGAGAGTGAAATGTACGATTTTATGCATTCTGCTTAGAAAACGAGATAACTATTTTCACGAAGTATTAAAATTGGTTACAAAGTTCGTCAACAGATGACGCTAACCACTGTAAAAAGCTATGAAACAAGATTCGTAAAAACATAACGCAGTCTGATGACAAAATTAAGATACGTTCCTTCATATATTTTTAATTGAAATATTCTGAAATGCTGTTACAGTTTTTCCAAATCAGTAGCTCTACTGGCGAACTTTGCACTTTATTGTGAAGTTTAAGAATAAATAAGTTTGTCTCTTTAACAGAGCAAATCAAACCTCACATTTTTATCTCATTGATTTTTTTTCTTGATGTCTCAGGTCATCGGATATTTTAGAATAATCTCTTAAAAGAGGCCCGTGGGCAATAAAAAGTACGGAATATTGAGACTGCTTACCTCCTTAGCCGATCTCAATTTTTTAACAAAAAATTATCTCAATAACTTTGAAAAAAAATTATTTTTTTAATTTTTAGCTGTGATCCAACATGTTTTTTAAATAACGTATAATCTTCTTTTATTCTCGTTTATAGTTCCGGTTTCATAAGTGTAGTAATATTTATCAATTAATTACTGAACAGTTGAAGATGCAAACAAATATTCAATAATGCATATCAAAATGAGTAGCATGTAAATTTAAGTTTCAAAATAATTAAGTTTCAAAAACGTTCGATTTTAAAAATTATATCTGATAATTCATTCCATTCATCAACATATTATCCATGATATATGCCATATCTTTTCTAATTATGTTAGCTACATCATAATTTTTTAAATATCAATAAATGGAGCTATTGTAGATTCACGTTAAAATAGTAAATAAAATAGTTGATTTTTTAAAAAATTAAGAAAACGTAAAAGTTTCGAACTACTGAAAGATAAAAAGGGAATTTTTAAAATATCTTAAATAAAGACACTGTTTTTTTTTAAATTTGACCTTTTCATATAAATGATAATTTTTTTTTACAAAAATCTCTCCATTATCTTACAAGTATATTTTTAGAATTCTTGTTAAAACTAAAGACAAAAACTACTCAGACTAAAAGCCACTAATTAATTTTGAAGCTAGAAAAAAACAGGATCAGAATTCAACCAGTTACTATTGAGGAAGGTAGAACTGAAAACATCGAAACCTGATTGATAACCGGAAGAAACAGAGTGGAAAACTAAAGGCAATTAATAGAAACACCCTTAGTTGTTTTCGGATTAACAAGCTGGTTTTTCTTTCTTTCACCGTAACTTCCTCACTGCTAACTCAACTCATTTTAATGGAGTTTTTATTTATTTCTCGCATAAACATTTAATTTATGAGCCCCAGAGTGTACCTTTTTTCACTTTGTTCGAGGCAAAGACTCTAAAAATATATAATAAAGGCGAGGATTACAAAGCAACAAGTGTTTTGTGTTTTGAACACTTTTAACCCCTTAACGATCGGTCAATTTTCAAGAAAATGGTAAAAAAGTGCCTATTTTTTTGACTTTTGTATCTGTATTAAGTATTTGATTAGTGCTGACATCTAGTTTAAAATAAACTAACTATCTACAATTATCTAAAAATTATCCTGGTACTACCACCTGGTGTGTAAAATAAGAAATAAAATGTTTTCCGGGCAAAAGAAATAAATTAGTTTTATTCTTATCGGCGCGTTACTACTGAACACTCCAGCCCGGAAATATCACGAGAGCGAGAGATAGAGGGCGAAACCTCACCCCGTCATTTTCACGGGAGCGAGAAGGAAGGGGTTAAACATAGTGGTTATTGTTATGCAGATAAGGATGAAATCAAATAAAACATGAATGGAATGAATTATCATACAAACTTGGGGTACCTGTGTCATGCCCATGCGATGACACAGGTACCCCAAGTCACTACCTACATGACTGCCCACTAACTGAATCATACCACCTCAAAAAACCCAATGAACAAGGCAGAACGATATTTGCAGACAGTTTCAAAAACAAGCATATTATGCAAAAACTAATAAATATTCTAGCCATAACCAGAAACATCACAGACAATATGTCATAAACCTTATAATAACTTTGTAAAAATACTGGCAGCAAATACAATGTTGAGGTGTCAGGGCTCCAGGCAAACCATTGCTGCAGCATAAAAACACACTCTGGCCCCACCCCTGACCAGCAAGCATTTGGCAGGCAGTCAGTCAACACAAGCTGTTGTCCGTGAGGCAAATAAAATTTAAAAAAAAAAAAAAAAAAAAAAAAAATTTAAAAAAAAAAAAAAAAAAAAAAAAATAGGAAAAAAAAATACCTGTGAATACCTATTTTATATTGTACTGTTATTGTCGATGTCCATTCTTTGTGGCTGTAATGTAACGCTGCTAGTTATCTATGTAAAATTAAATTGTCTCTACTAAGCCGGGATAGCCTGGTCAGTAGGGTGCCGGGCCCATGTCCAAGAGTTCGTGGGTACGGTCCCTGCTGGTCGAAGACTCCCCGTGTAGTAAATGGTGACTGATGCACGTTAAATCTGTCGAGTCTCAAAGTCCTCCATGTTCCCATAACAAATCAATACCTCTGGGGGTACCGATACAGAAGTTTCCTTGTCTTCTGGATTGGTTCAAAATTACAAGGCTACGGCGTTTAACATTTGTAGTCGTAAACCCAAAAATTGGGTCGACTGTTCAACGGCGGTCATAAAATAAAATAAAACATATTTATGTACGAAAATCCGCCTGATGGTTCAGAAATAATGTGATTTAAAATGATTAAAAAGTTTGAAAATGTGCCTTCAAACTGCTTTTACCAAAAAGAAGGGAAAAAACGTAAATTTTAAAAACACAAGTGGTTTTTATGACTAAATTAAATGAACTCAAATTATAGTTACCATCTATTTTTGTTATGTTTCTTGTCCGTAAATGTGGCCTTATTACAAATGTCTTCCCAATATTCTGGTGATAATTTTCTTTTTTATTCCTTATATCGCTTAACAATTTATCTCCACTTTTGACTTCAAATGGAAGAAATTCTTTCAATCCATCATCGTAGTAATTTTTTTCGATGGTCTCACTCTTAATATTTCCTTTAAATAAATTAGAAGACTCAATTCGGCTCTCATTTTTTAAAGAATCAGATTCAACAGCAAAGTTTTTGTTTTGTTTAGTTTTCGTTTCATTATTTTCTATCTGAAACTCATGTATTTCTTCTTGGCTATCAGACCATATTGTTGCCCTTTCTTCTATTACTTTTCCTCGTTCGAATTCAAATGGAGAAGTATCTTTCGATTTATCATCGTTATAATTGTTTTCGATGGTGCCATTCTTGTTATTTTCTTTAAATAAATCGTAAGATACAGTTCGGCTTTCATCGTTTGAAGAATTAGATTCTACAACATGGTTTTCATTTTGTGTATGTGCAATAGCGTAAGTGGGACCAACATTTAATTCCTCAAAATTAATTGCTTCTGTTGAGTAATTTTGTGCAGAATTCTGCAGAAGTGAGGCTGGAATAAAAAAAGTGCTTTGTTATTGAGAAGAAAGCTATAAGGTATACAAAGAAACAGATTCTAACCAAATACAGATTGTTTCGCAATCATTGAACCAAAATTATATTGTTGGAGCCTTTATCAAAAATTGAATGAAAACAAGTGCATATTTGTAAGTTGGGATGAAAAAATAAAAAAATTAATTTTCAATCCAGTCTAATTTTATATTGATTAATGAAATGTTATGAATATTTCATTAACTTAGATATTAATTTTCGATTCCTAATGGGTACATTTTTAAAACGTTTTTGTTAAGATTTCTAAAATATATACATTAAGGGTGGTGATTACCAAACACTTTTCATCTTTATTCCTAAACGTTGCTAGGGAGGCATCATTTCACTATTCTCTCAGCTTCATTTTTAACTATGCATACTTTGTTGCTGATCTACTCATGGATGTAGTGGATCCCAATTTGTATTGCCTCTAATCACAGTAAGCATTTGCTTACTACACATTGATCGTGGTTGAATAGGCTTGCATTGTCTACTGTTTCAAAAATTTAACTAATTTTTCTCTTATTTGCTTACTATGCGATATAAGTGTTTGCAATATGAATTAAAATTTCAGCATGTTTGTTAAGCAGTTTGATTATCGCAGCAACAGTAATGTATTGTTTAACTTTTCTAGGAAGAAATAATAACTCGTTTTATTCCGTATATTTGCTTACCATACAATAATTAATTAGTTTTTCTGTAGTGCTGATAATACATAACAAATTTTAAACAATTTAAGAATTTTTTTTTCCAAACTGTAATAAAGTAACTAATTTGAAAATTTGTTTTTACAATACTTTTTTTGTACTATTATTGTCACTATATTTATTTTCATTATGCTTGGTAATATTAAAAAGGGGTAAAAATTCTGTAGGCATAAGAATTCTGTTTAGGGATCAAATCTTGATAAATTCTGCTTGAAAACAATTGAGATCTGTGTTATCATCTAGCTTAGAGTTTCAATTCAGATTAATTATCCTAGCTAGACAAAAAGTAGATAAAATTTTGTTTGCTAAAATTAGCCAATGGACTCAAAAATGATTGATTTAATCTTCGATATAAATAAAAGAATTCTGAAATTCTGCGAAGATATAATAAAAACAGATGTTACATGAGTTTAAACCGTGAAATTTTAAAACGTGACTTTATGAACTTACTATTATAATACCAATTAAGTTATAAAATATATATTACTTTTATTACTTACCAACAAAAAGTAAAGGAAAGCATCCCCTTTTACCCATTTTATTCTTTTAGCAGTTTATAAACAAATTCAGACGATCCATTTTTAAATTGTATTTGTAAACTCCTACAATTTCCAAGATATTTTTAATAAAAAACATTACACAATATCCTATTAATAAAAAGAACATTTCAGGTGAAAAAATTAAAGTAAACAATAGATTTTTTTTATGTAGAATATGCATACCAGTTAGAGCAACTGCATATTAACAATAGAATAAGTTTCTCAAAAGTATGTAAAAGAATGGGCTTTATTCAGTTTTCGAAGAAAAGGTTTAATCCAAATCAAAATCTAACAATAGATTTGGATTTTTTTTTTACAGTAAGTACTACACACTTCTTGCTTCGCTCTTCAAGCCCCGTGATTGGGATCATCTTTGTGTTTGATTATGAAGCAGAAATGGTACTGAAGGACAGAATTTATTCTATTTAAATATTTTATTCTGTTGTTCCATAACACATTAAATTTCACGTTTCACATCCTATTTTTTTCTAATTTCGTATTAACTTCATAATTACAAAAAAGTAATAAAAATAATGACATGGGAACATACTCGACATCTAAAATTACTTCTCAAGAGAAATTCACAAGTCTGCAAGTTGATTATATACTGTCAAAAACTCCAAATCAAATTACGGTCTAAAATATCGGCACACCACCCTAAAAATACATTTTAGCGAGAAAACCATTTTTATCGTAAAATATATTACAGTAATATTTATTTATTTAGAGTGACTTGGTGATTTTACGTAATTATTACTGTAAGAACTACGGTCTGTCTGATTTTTTGTTCCGTATCATGCTGAATTTAGCGGTAAAAATACCAACACTCTAGATGCCGTTATTTTTTATAGTGTTCATAGAACGTGAAAACCACTCAAGATTACCTAAAAACATATTTGATCTAATTATCATTGACGATAGTTTGCCCAAAGACATATTTGATATAATTATCATTGGCGATAGTTTGCCCGAAGACATATTCGATCTAATTATCAATGGCGATAGTTTTTGTCAGCATTGTGGCAGTAAACTTATTGTTATATTTTATTACGCACTCTTTCCTCACTCACTTACCTTCATCGTAATGGTTTTTATCACTTGACGTAAAAGAGGCATTTCCATCAAAAGCAAATGTTATTCAAATTATTTTATATCACAACTGACGATGAACAACGTATCATACGATAAAATATGGAGCAATCAAGTTCAAATTCACATTAAAGCACTTTTAAAAGCTACTCAAATGTAATTAACTCTCGAGTCAAGTTTCAAAACAAGCTTCTTTCGTTGTTGAATTTAATTTGCATTTGAGTTACATGAAAAGGAAGACCAATAAAGTCTACTGATACCAAATTTTAACCTGACAAAATTATTCCTCTTAATAGAGGTACCTCTGATTATTATTATAGTATTAATGAAGCCAAGCAAATGAGCAAAACGATCTGATATTTTCCCCATTGGTGCAGCTCTTAGTTTATCTTTTCCAATAGTTCATGCCTTTTCACAATGAAACACGCTGTTTCGCTGTAATTTGTACATATTATTCTAATTTTAGTACTTTCAAGTAAATTAAAATAAAAAAGGAATAGGTTTTGTCACTTTTCTGGTCATTTAAATTGTTAATTTTATGTGTTTATTCACTATTTTCATACCTCTTATGCAATTTTAAAGCAATATAAGATGAGAAGTATTAGAACTAATTCATTTTCTATGGTAAATTTCTGGAAAAAAGCCAACATCTCCGTTGCAACGAATGAAAAACCATGGAAATTTACCAATGTTTTTCCTACTGCATTTTACCCTCAACTCAACTTTCACTGAGTAGAATTTTTGTCAGCAGTAAGACTAAGTGAAAACTTTTTTCTGATTGATGATATTTTTTCATTCTTGTAATTTAAAAGTTCAAATATTCATATTAGTACTTAAATATAGCTAATTTTTTTCACGAAAACTGATAGTAATCTTTATACTTACGCTTTATTTATTTGCAAAAACAAAAGCTTATATTAATAACTTTTTTAAAAAGCATTTGAGACCATTGACACATAATTTTATGACGGATATTATTTTAGAGTTTTTGCCATTATTCTCAGTAGTTGAGATAATATCAGCACATGAGGAAGGTGGACATACCCTCACAACTTCTATTAACTTATTAGTTAACAACATAGCTTTTAAAAAAGATTAATAGACTACACATGCGAGTACCGAAATGAAAAGGCAGTAAGAAAAACAACTAATCACTCCAAGCAAAAACAAAATTCCATAAGGAAAGTAAGCTCCATGCATTTTATTAAATTCCATCATATTTTGACCAACATCTTCCATCATATTTTGATAGTTATTGTTGGGCCAACAATAATATACATAACTTGTTGGTTGACCATTATAAATGTAAACCAACAATTTCCATCATATTTTCATGGCTGCTGTTGGTCCAACAATAGTAAACATACCATGTTGGTTGACCATTATAAAGGGAATACGACATCTTCCATTCTTGTTTGATGGTTATTGTTGGTCCAACAATAATACACATTACTTACTGGTTGACCATCATAAAGATAATACAACATATTCCATCATAATATGATGGTAAATATTGGTCCATGAAAAATCAAACATTACCTGATTGTTTACCATCATAGCAATAGAGCAACATTTTTCATCTTGCAATGTTGGAATTTGTTGGTCCATCAAAAACCAACAAACCACGATAGAAATTGTTGTATGATGGTGGCCATCAACACATGTTGGACCATCAAGAATCTTATTGAAACCAACATAAACCATCAAAATCCTTCGATGGTATCATCATAAATTTGGTCTTGGGCAAGTAAGGCATAGACGACAGTGTTCGAAGACAACGATTTGAAGTTCGAAGTATTGTGTCGTATATGAGTTAGGAGGGAATCAAAGTCTAATTTACATGCCCGGTGACAATGACGTCATTGTGGATTACCACATATAACTCAATACATTTAAAAGTACCCTTTAGGAGAATGTCACCCGGGTGGAGTCGAGGTAAGATGGGCGGTGTCAGTCTGACCAAAAGAAATTTATGTATGTCTGGGACAAATATTGAAGTTTCCTATTACAGTTATTAAAAGAATTAAAATAAAGTCTTTAAACCAACAGAAACCATTGGTAATTTCAAGAAGGATCTTAAATCGCAGATTAAAAAAGATCTTTTTTAATTAATGATATCTTGTACTGATTTTTTTAGTATAGAATAGCGTGAAAAGCAATACTTCAAAATTAGCTTTTCATAGAAAACGAATAAGCAATATCAACCACACCGAAATCAGTAATATCATCCACAAGTTTAATAAATATTAAAGGAATCACCTAGTCAACGTTTGTCGAAGTGCTCTAAGCATAGATTGGCCGCTGTTCTAACAGAACTATGTTGCCCAGGAACAAACCACGGCAGATGTAAATTTAATAAACAAGGTTTCTTCATAAGGACGAGTTTGAAGTGCTACTTAATATTTATCCTGATAAATAAAAAGGTTCTACCTCCATACAAAGACAACAGATTGAAAAAGAGGAGTAAATGTCAAACATTTTACATTCATTGATGTAAACCAACGTCTCAAGTAACTCAGTAGAAATTTATGTGACATGTAGCCCATATTATATGAACATGAAAACCCATGTAACATATATTTATGTGGGTTTTCATGTTCCCTACGCTTTCAGATTTTATAGTGTGCTCAGCTTCTCCATATTAGGCATCTTCAAAAATACTTTTATATTATATCTCAGAGTAATTGGTACGTAGGTTTTTCTCATGATACAATTTGAAATAAAAGCACAGTGCGCAAAAATCAATAACCCTGAATAACTTTTATTCTAATGATTCTTTTCAAGAACTAGGACTCAATCTTAATGATTCAAAAACATAATTTATGGTTCTAGGGCTGTGTATTTTGTCATATTTCAAAAGCTTTCCTTTAAGCAAATTGGAATTTTCTGATGCAATTATAAAAACTATTAAAACAAAGATAAGGCAAAGCAAAAATACTGAATTCCATTTCTTATCTATTCCAAATTCGCAAATACTTCATGGTCAAGTGAATTTTGCTACCACTTGTCAAAAAGATCTACCACGCTGCTACTGTTCTTAGGGAACTGACAGAGCTCAATGACTAAATTTTTAGTCTAATAAGCTTTAATAGATAATAAAAGAGTAAGCAAAATTACAAAGCTATGGAGTTAAATATTGATAGTTGTAAACTTCAAATCAGATAAGCTGTTCAACGCCGTTTTAAAATAAAACATGAAATAAAACTAATAAACGAAAATTTCACATGATTTTAAGAAACCGTGTAAAACAAGAGCTTTTGTAAAAATAATGCATTTTCATTTAACTTTTATTGCTTCATGATTAATGCCTATAACATATATATAACATATACCATTTTGTAGTCTTATCTTTACTTCAAATAAAACAGTGCCGGATTCGTATTTTTAGGTACCTTTAACGTTGTCTCAGATATGGTTTAAAGCCATATACGTGCTACGTCTTTGTTACTCATATGATTTAAACCTTATTGCAGATCTCCTTTTATTTAAAAGGAAATTACAACTTTGAAGTTTTTGTTGAAAGCAAGAATGTTCTCTGTATAGTAGGTTTATCCAGGGCTCGAAAAAACTCAGAAATTTTACCCGTCCCCGAGGACTGCTTGTCCAACAATGTACCCGTCCTCCTTTGAAACTAACCCGTCGCTTCTAAATAAATAAAAACATAACTTTCTCTTATTTATTACAAACATTTATATAAATTGCACAATGAATTAATAGTTACTAGGATTACAAATACTAGGATTACATTATACAGTAATAAAAGAAATACTAGGTTACTAAGAGTAAAACCTTGTATTTCTATTATGAAATAATTTATTTCTTTGATGAAATAATTTAAGTAACAAAGGTTAAGTTAGCTGTCAATTATCATGTCAATTTATCCGATGGTACTGCGTTTCCTAAATGAATCAAATATGACGTTTGCCAGTTCCACAATCAAGTCAATGATTTACAGAGGTTTCTGCACAGAAATCTGAAAGGGGTTTTCTATTTAGGTGGATGTTCATAATTGCGTTTAACGCTTCTTGTTTAAGACCAGTAAGTAATGTGTTTTTTTGTAAGTTCATTGCTGAAAAGCCCCTTTCAACCGCTGCAGTACTCCCAGACAGAGAAAACATCAGTTCCACCATGCGCAATATGTTGCTGTATTTCGAGATTAGCGGGTCATTTTAGAAGTGAGGCGATAGACTCTAGTAAAATAACAAAAATTTAAAATGTATCACGGACATTAACGGGAAAATGGCCGTCCGCGCGGACGCTGGATTCTAGAAATTTGTTGTCCGCGGGGAATTTTTGACAGCCGAGGACGGGCGGTTTTTCGAGCCCTGGGTTAATCTTAACTTTTTTTTTGGTACTTTGCATTTTACAATCTGTTGTTTGGAACCACACGAAAAAATTTGAAATAAAAGTCACACAAAAGCATTTTATTAATTTTCATTATTTATCTACAAGTTATTGCTTGTTTATTTGATAGTAATTAATTTCAAGAGAGATTAAGAGATAACATTTAAAAGGAAATTACAACTTTGAAGTTTTTATTGAAAGCAAGAATATTCTCGGTATAGTAGGTTAATCTTAACTTTTCGGTGTTTTTCATTCCGTACTTTGCATTTTACAATCTATTGTTTGGAATCACAAGATGGAAAAAAAATCTAAATATAATGTCACACAAAAGCATTTTATTAATTTTTATTATTTATCTACAAGTTATTGCTTGTTCATTTGATAGTAATTAATTTCAGAAAAGATTACATAAAGAAACTCCTTCAATATTTAAGAATGATAGTTTTTTATTGTTTAATGAAATAATGAGTGGACTTCTCTATCCAATCCCCTAGAAGTAAAAATTCAACAACATTAGCATACATACATATTATTTAATAATTTCTTTGCATAGTTAAAGTAATCTAATTTAATAATTTAAGTAATCTAATTAACTACAAGATGAAAAAAAAACTTTTTTATTTTATGTATTTAAAGCTCAAGCCTAATACAATGAAAGAGATTATTAAGATAGCTAAATATTCAAAACGTGTTTTTTGTACCAATAGCTCAGTGCTATTCAGGATGTGACAAAACGTATGGTAACTGTAAAAGAATTAAAACTTTCCAAAACAAACTATTTTGCCTTAAAATGAGGGGGAGAGATAAAAGGATGCTGTGTAAGAGGAAGCTTCGCAAATGGCACTTTTTTAGATATCTCCAGAAAAAATCTAACCTTACCAGAACAGTAGCCAGAGACGGTCCCACCGTGACTATTCAATCTGTTTGGAAAGGCAATGTGCAGGTAGTAACAACTCGTCCTTTACTTTCCAACCCCAGATCATATGAAGGGAGTTGTTTACATTGACAAGTTCTATCACCCTTTACAGTTTGATCATTAATTTAATTTCTCCCGGTATACGTTTCCTCAAGCCATTAACCCGGTATACATTTCCTCAAGACATTGATCCGGTATACGTTTCCTCAAGCCATTAACCCGGTATACGTTTCCTCAAGCCATTAACTCGGTATACATTTCTTCAAGCCATCAATACTTTTGAAAGACATGTGTCGTAAACCAATTGCAAAATAGAACTCCTTGCACACTGCCAACGTCATTTGTTGGACCTACTGTAGGGAGTCTTGTAGGTGCAAAGTGAAGTCAGCAGTTTGCTTACCCTATGACATATGCATGTAAAATAACCAATCATGGCATATTGGATACATTCGTATGGAATAATCATATATGGGTGTATTATCTAATGGATCTAATTAGTCCATTAGGCATATTTTCATGTTTGTTATATTGCTTTAAACGTTAATATTACATTTTAAGTGTGGTGATCCAGTGAGTAAAAGTCTCTTTGAATGTTTTTTTTAATATTTTAAGATTAAAAATAGTTCTTTAAAATCTTTATTTTGAGATTTCAAAATTAGGAGTGACTCTTAAAAATCCTGAAGAATCAATGTGACGAACACAGTCGTGACCTATTTACAAGAAAATTAACAATAGTTCGTTCGGGTGAAAACTAGGCCTCTTGAAAGTCTTATTTTAAGATTAGCAGTAGTTCTTGAAAAGCCCCATTAAAGGATTTCAAGCTTAAAAGTGACCTTTACAGATCCTGGAGTAACATTGTGACGAATAATTCTCAATTTATTTCAGAATCAGGAGCTAACTTTGCAGTTCGTTCGGGAAATAGAGATCTCTTAGATGTCTTTTTTTAGAATTTCTAAATTAAGATAAGCCTAAAACACCAATGTAACAACTGAAATGTTTCCTACTTTTCTCATTCACTGCTGTTGGACTCCATTCCTTTTTCAAGCTCCTCCAATACCAAAGCTTTGCCTCTTTTTGGTTGGTAATGGTGATGATCGCTCAAGAAGCGATGTCCTTGGTCATGATAGTGTTCTAATATCACCGAATAAGAAAAAAATAATATTACTATCTAGCAGGATGTACTTTTTAGGACATTTTTAAATGCGAATGACTAAAATGAAAAAAAAAATGAAACTGTCATCAAGGCACTATTAAAATTTGAATCAAAAATTTTGAGTGAGCCTTTATACTTATATTGCTGCTTATGCTGTTTTATTACTGCTGATGTACTTTATATTACTGCTTATGTTATTTATATTACTGCTTATACTATTATATTACTACTTATATTATTATATTTCTGCTTATGTTATTTATATTACTGCTTATGTTATTTTATTACTGCTTATGCTATTATATTATTTCTGATGCTGTTTATATTACTGCTGATGCATTTTATATCACTGCTTATGATATTTATATTACAGGTTATACTGTTTATATTACTGCTGATGCATTTTATATCACTGCTTATGTTATTTATATTACAGGTTATACTGTTTATATTACTGCTTAAGCTATTTATATTACTGATTATGCTATTTATATAACTGTCTATGTATTTCGTATTACTGTTTATGCTATTAATAATGCTTAATTAATTAATTGATGATATTTAATTAATTAATTAATAATACTTAATTAATTAATTAATGATACTTAATTAATTAATTAATGATACTTAATTAATTAATTAATAATACTTATTTAATTATACTTAATACTTAATTAAATATTAATTATACTGCTTATTAATAATGCTTGTACGTTATGTTTCACCAAGAAATAACCAAGTGAATGAACGTAACTGAAGGAAAATAGTACTTTAAATTGGTTTCACAAGAAGGAAATTAAAACATGTTTACTAGTTAACTGAAATCATGGCGAATTTTGGTACGAAAATACTCTTTTTCTACAGAGTCATATTAATTTTTACTTATAACTCTATTCAATTTAGAAAACAAAGAAATAACCCCTAAATACAAAATAATTCTTATAAATGAGAAAATTTTAAGAAGTGATTACACTGGATGTTCCAAAAATTACTTTTCGAAAAATCAATCGAAAAAAAACTGAAAAAGTAGTTTTACTGTTTCATGCTTTCTGCTAGAACAAGTTTAATCATTGAAAGTTTAATTATTTTTTTTACAAGCCTCGCCAAAACATGGTGTTGTTCTTTAAAGAGAAAATAAGACAATCCTTTAAAAATAACTGCCTTTGACATGATATAGTCTGTGGGCAAACTTAACAAATGCCCGTACAACTATATTTAAACTGTTAAAATCTGATATGTTGTAGTTTTGTTTTAGTTAGCATTGTCATAAGTTAAAGCACCTTTACTATTTTAGAAAGTGTAAGAATATAATTGGTTTCACAAGCAGAACGCAGAAAAATCTACATTCCCGATTCAATCCATTTATTTAATGGATTTCTTCAAATCGTTTTTTATATTGGGACATTTGTTATGTTTGCAATAAAAATAATTGTCACCAATTTTTGTCGTTGGTAAAAAGATATTACTAGGAGGTTCTTAAAAATTGAGTTGTTACTTCATTTCAACATTCATTTGATAAGACAAGAGGTCAATGTCAGAAAACAGATTGGCATAATACTGCTTCTTAAAAGTAAGAAACTCCTGCTAAAAAGAGCTATGCGAAAGAACCATAAGTGATCAAATTATTCGCAAAATTCTAATGTTGATTTATGTTTATGATTTTTATAAATCAATGTTCATAATTTATTTAACATTAAAACTTTTAAATACTTCAAAAAACTCATAATTTTTTTTTTAAAAAGTCACAATTTAACATGTCTCTTAAAGAAGAGTCAGATAACTCGGCTCATCATAAGACAGACCATTCAGCCCTTCATATATATATATATATATATATATATATAACTGNTATATATATATATATAATAGAACACCTAATAGAACACCAAAGTCAAGCATCACTGGTTGGTGGTCAGTGTTTGGGTGAGGGACAACTTTGATCTGCTGTTGAGGAACCGAGGGTGTGCGGTATCAGTCTCCGTTAAACTTTTCTTGCGTAAAGTGCTCGACTTCGCTGGCAGGTCGTCGTACGACCAAACCGGAGAAGATATCCCCTCTGCAGATGATACAAAATTGTTACCGAGTGTCTTCGGATCATCTTCTAGGATGTTTTCCAGACGGTCACCAATAGCCCATTGTTCAGCTCTAGTGTGACGTAAATAAAGTACCTTTCGACCTGCGATTTTAATATTTTTAGAATTTCTTTTTCAGAATTTGAAACTTTGTCATACTTTAAATTTTAAATACTTATGGAGTTGAAGGAAAATTTGTGATGAAAAGTTTCTAACACAGTATAGCGTCTTCTAAAGTAAGGAAGGAACCAACCCTTTTCGTTCTTCATTTAAGCCCTGAGACGATCACCAGGTCAGTTTTGTCGGTATCGTATCTAATGAAAAAACTATTTATAACTCAATTATCTTACTTTTTTTTGATGGCTTAGCACATTTGGGTAATTTGGGGCTCCACTGTGCTTTGTCCTTTTTTGGATGTTTTTTGCATTTGTATTTTTTTGCGGACTTAAGTTCTTTAATATTAGTAGCTTTACAATGTACTTTACACGTTGGGTGATGCGTTATGGAATTATAAGTACAATGCGCTCTGCCACTGGAGATCTTAATGTTGCAGTCAACTTCAGCTGCAATAAATAAAAATAAACTTTATAAAACAACATAAAATTTTTAAGAGCAACTTCAAAAAAATTTTCATTAATATTACAGCTAAATTTTGATTATTCGACGTCAAAAGAACCAGAGAAGAAGCTCGAAATATTTAAAAATTCGATTCCCTCAAATGGGAAAGATAATTAAAAAAGGTTTACTTTACGATCAAAGATTCTGCACATAATTTGCTTACTGAAATATTGTTGTATTTTCTTTTTTAAATCAAGCATTGTTTACTATCTTATTTATTCATCACTTTAAAGATGTATACTTTTGATTATTTCATTGAGCTCTGTCGTAGTTATTCTAAGCTATCAAGCAATACGAAAAAAGAATCTCATATATAAAACCGATCAAGTAAAGGAGTACAGAAAATTATGGAAACAATTTTATATTAACTCATCTGTTATATTTCTCAAATAATCATTTTATAACATTCGACGTGTTTAGGTTATTCGATTTCTCATTAGCATAAATGAAGTTTAAAACTTTTAAAGACCGGCAATAAATCACGAACAGAAAAGAGTGTTTTTGAACACCCTATGTCGAAAAAAATATCAATAATAATTTGTACAAATTTTGGTTAATATAAGTAATAATTTCAAAAGATTTCATAAAGCTAGCTTAAATATTCATGGATATACACTAATGGTAGTGCACTGGACTCCCATTCGGAAAAACGGAAGTGTGAATCCAGCCGGTCAAAGACCTCCCTGTAGTATATAGTGACTGGTACACATTAAATCCCTCGGGTCACGAAATCCTCCATGTTTCCATGACAAATTATACCTCTGGGGACACTGAATTAGAGATTGATCGCTCTCTGGTTCAGGTCAAAGTAATGATCTGTGGATGAATGAATGAATGAATATATGAATGGGTTCCCCCTATAAACGGATGAGACATGTGGGTGTGGCAGAAGTCGAATTCTTGGCCATAAATGGCGCCACTGGAAAACAAAAACAATCGCCCCCTTGCCTTAATGGCCTACGACGACAACAAATATCCAATATTATTAAGTAAAGTTTTAAGAATAATTTTTAATTAATAACGAAAATATCATTTTAAATTTGAAAAATTTTGTCATAAAGTGCGCAAGATATGATTATTTCAAGTAATCCTTTCTTACTGCGCATGCGCAAGAAATATTTTTAAATGACATCATAATTTACTTCTGACTCGTATTTAGTAACGCATGAAAAAAGTCAGATTTGAATATCTAGAAAATCAAATAAGTTTCTAGCAGCTTTCTAAATATTTTATGCTTTGAAAAAAATTCTAAGTGCTGGATTTCAAAGTTATCACTGATAGGTTTCAAAGTTCTATCTGAAAGATTTCAAAGTTATAAATAATCAATTTTAAAATTCTAAATGTTATAATTCAAAATTATTACTGCCACTTACGCACACAGTCAGAGAAGGATTTGGAAGGACCCCATACTCCCCTACTCTTGTAGCATACTTGTATTCTTTTATGATATGGTTTACCTTTTAGTTTGTAACCTCTGGTGCAAGTTTGAGTGCAATTCCTTGAAAAAGAATTATTTGTTTATTACTATTCATCTACTTGATAGAATTATGATTGTAATTCCAATTAGCAAGTTTTCAACTTAATTACAGCAAATACAAGACGTGTCATAATAATTGCCATCTAATATCTAAATTGTTGTCAAAATGAATTAAAAAAGTCCATACATAGGTCTGAAAATTAATGTTTATGAGGGATGAAAAAAACATAAAGTCTAGTGTGGGGGGTGAGTAGTTATCGATCATGTCAACCTTCATCTATGAAAAGGTATCTCAACATAGAATCGAGTTAACATGTCTTATATACTAGGAAACTGTAACTGTATTTTTGTAGTGGTAGATACACTACATATAGCGATAATCGCTTTGAACGAAGGCGAGACTAAAAACATCTAAATGCATTTAATTGCTTCAGGAAATAGAAAGAATTCTAAAGATGATTACAATTAAACTGGTTTTGACATTTTATAAATCCGCTTTCTTCAGTTGTGATTTGCCATATTTCAATAGCGCGTTTGATTTTTCTTTGCCAAAGTATAGTTTTGTAACCGGTAATATGTAACATGTGTTCTAAGAAAGGCGAGACTAAAACTTCAAAATACATCAAAAAATTGGGTAGAATTAGATTTCACAAACTTTTAATTTTTTATAAAATTTCAGAATGTTATGTATTCTTAGTTTAAAATGGTTAATGATTAAAATGGCTTAGTCACAGTGAACTGATCGTAAGAGATGGTTCCTTCAGCCAGCTTCACTGACTCCGGTCAAAAAATGTTTGGATGACCACTTTGATCAATCTACCGATGTATCGAGTTTGTGCGCTATCTGTCCTCGTTAAACTCTTTTACCGTGAAGTACTCGACTTCATATGATAGTCGTCGAACTATCGAAGCCAGGGTGCCATCCCCTCTTCAAAGTTGTGATAACAAGTCTTCGTATCATCCTTAGAATTGTTTCCCAGACCACTACCGACTTAGGAATACTAATTCAGTAAAGTAGCTTGTGTTACCGACAATTTCAACCTTCATCTATGAAAAGGTACCCCACCCTAGATTTGATTTAACATGTCTTATATACTAGTAAATTGAAATTGTATAAATGTAATGGTAGACACTCTACTGTACTCTCCAACCCGAATTTTGTCTGTGATAGAATTCGATGAACGGATACCACTTAGTTGATTCATTGCTGTTTTGTGAGAAACCAGGAGAGGTGTTTTAAGTTCACCAGATTAAGTTCACCAGATCGTGAGAGCTGTATTAAATTCAAGGTGGTGGTCCTTCATGTGCTGCCATTAGCAGTCAAGCGTATGCAGGCCGACGTTGTGTGTGATCGAGACTGAGTAGCAACAGAGTGAAGAGAATAATATCACAGTCACAATTAGCAAGTCTACTGTTGAATGTGGATCGTCCATCGAAGTAAGCGTGTTAAAATCGAAGAGGGTGTGTCTGTTAAGGTAAGAGTGCTCTGATCAATTCTGGTGGGGGAGTAATGTAGTGTAACTACCACTACAATATTACAATTCGAATTCCCTTGTACATAAGACGTGTCAACTTTATTCAATCCGAAGGTACCTTTAGATAGATAATGGCCGACAGAGTTACTAGTTTTTCGTCCACCAGCTACGCTATCCATGTTTATCATTGTGTTTGTAAAAAACTATTTTAACATTAAAAAACGTGTAATGAAATCTTAATGATGAAAAAAAAAATTTAGGATATGGAGGATATATATATATATATATATATATACGTAACNCAATGGTATATGCTCCTTGTCAATGTCGGAATTTCAGAAACTTAGCAACAACGGTTCTGTAGACCTAAGAGATTAAAAATAGCGCTCCGGGTGAAGAACACACCAAATAAGGAGTAAACACAAAAGAAAAGTAGAAAAAAAATTTTATTGCAAGTCTAAGTGTGTAATTTTTTTAAACACGTCTATCTGTATAATTTATTCAAATAAAATTTGAAATAAATTGACAACGGAGATAGAAAAAAATTTTAAAAAATAAAATAGAAAATGGTTTTTTATTGTAAGTATGACTAATTTTTAAATTATCTTTGAAACTCGGAAAATATTGAACCCATATACTAAAATATTTGTGTTTTAAATTAAAACTTATCCTCTTACACCATGTCGTATGTACCGTATTTCATCTTTATTTGATTTACTAACAAAACTCCTCATGCAACAGTCGTCTTTAGCATTTAAAGTTAAATGGAAAAGTGTATGTTTTGTAAAGTTTGAAGTTCATGTTGATATCTTATATAATTTATTTTCCTTTGATCAAATTAAATAAATCGCTTTCATCCTCTTATTTCCAATAAATAAATTTTTTATAATAATTTTTATTATTAAACTCAATACAACCTCGCCGTCTGCTGCATTTTCGAACGTCTACCAACATTGTCATACACCCAGTTAGTTATTCCGCAAATTTTTACAACACCTTTGTCTTTAAATAAATAATCCCAAGAAACTGAAGCTGATTAAAAATTTCATTCACTTCAAAAATATATAAATAAGAAGTAACAATCGGCATGTTTCAAATGGTTAGAAAATAGGAATCTACTTTAACGACTTGCAGACTTGAATGAGAATAAGCAAAAGAGATTCAAAATATAAAACGTTAAGTTGCTAACTAAAAATGGAAGAATGAAGGCTGTAAACGTAACTAGAAAAACCACAGTACACGGGAGGGCCGAATCAAAATGAAATGCATTGCCCCCGGTATGGAGAGGCGGAACTAATGGGAACAAGCATGAAGCTGAGCTGATGCGACAGGGGTGGAAATAATTTTGACATTGTCGAAATTGAATTTATGCCCAAGATTCTAACATATGAACTTTAATTTTTCATTTTTCATAAGCAACTCGTAACTTGTTTAAATATTTAATTCGCGTCAGAAGTTGACGAAAATTCAATTTCGACAATGTCAAAATTATTTCCATCCCAAACACATCATCTCAACTTGATGCCCTGGAATCTTATTTTATTCATATTTTATTTTTTTCATGTGCTGATTCCCTTGTTAAACGACATTAATTTCTCCATAGCCTTTGGAAATGCATTTTACTTGTGTTTGCTCCTCTCGGCCATTGAGGTTTTTCATGTTCTGTTCTTCAAACTTTTTTCCTCTCGGCTACTGTGATTCTTTCTAGTTTTGTTTGTCACCTTTATTTTTCCATTTCCCTTTGGCAACTCTAAGTTTTATATTTCAAATTCCTTTTGTTTGTTCTTATTTATATCTAACAAGTCTTGAAAAAGGATGCTTATTTTTGAGTTCTTTGATCATATCGACTGTTTTTTTCCGATTTGTATGTTTTTGGAAGTTTTTTTAGTATTTATTTGCATGGTTAATCAGGTTATACTTTTGTTTTGATCTCACTTAAAGCGAACAAGAGAGATGAAGACAAGTGAAATGAAATATAAAGTTGCAAAGATTTTTTTCATACAATTTTAATTTTTTAAATGTTTACTTACGTATACGATCCATAAACTATGCAAAAAACTTCTGAATGAGCGAAATTTTTAGGAACCTTACATGAACCCTTAGGTGCAGTTAGACGTTCTTCACTTTCAACTTCACATTCAGTTTCAGTTTCACATTCAGATTCAGGTGCAGGTGCACGAGCGTTGTATACTAATGCATCATCCTCGCTTACAGAATCAGAATGGTAGCCATAACCATAAACATTAGGTGAAACTTTTCTTCGTGATATTCTATGAATGTAACTATCATTCTTTAAAGAACCTAGTATGACACTGGCCTTCTCTTCGTCATCTTCTTCGTCTTCTTCATCTAAAAAAATGATAGAAATTTAATAATTGTTTACCCCTTAACAATCGCTTAATTTTCCAGAAAACGGTCATAAAAATAGCCTATTTTTTAATACACGTATATTGTGCACATATTTGATTAGTGCTGACATCTAGTTTAAGATAAACTAACTATCCACAATTGCCTTAAAAATATCCCGGTACTGCCATCTGAAGTGTGAAATGAGAAATAAAATGTTTTCCGAGCAAAAGAAATGAATTAGATTTATTCTTATTGGCGCGTTACTACTGAGCACTTCAGTCCGGGAATTTCACGGGAGAGAGAAATAGAGGGCAAAACCTTTACCCGTCATTTTCACTGGAGCGAGAAGGAAGGGGTTAAGAAAAAGTTGAAGGAATCTGGATGATTTACAACCCATTGCAGTTCTTTATGATACAGAGTCAGCCTGTTTGATTCTTCCATTTTCAATGGGCGGTTTATTTACATGTCTCCAACATACATAGAAAAATTATATACAGCAGGTAAAAAAAATTAAGAAACTGTTAAATGTCGCGTGAAATATACATCGGATCGAAAAACCGAAAATACTCATATTTATTATTTTTTAAAAGCTGTACAATAATATCATACTCGATCTTCCACCCCTTGGGAGAAATTTGCAGAGCGACTTTGAAATCCAAATTATGAATCTTGTATTTTTTTACTGCTGATATGGAGTCTCCAGAAAAAAAAGTAATTTATTAGAGTTGAAGGTTTATGCCTTTTGCTTCAGAAATGGCGTTGTAACCGAAAATAGGTTAGATAGAATACAAGCTGTTGAAAATGGCAAATCTCTGGACACATCAGAATCACGAAGACAAAAATAGATATGTAGAAAAAAAGTTATCGATTTTTTTTTAAAAAATATCATACTTTCTTATTTTTGTTTATTTTTTATTTTCAATCTGATGGGCCTCGAATTATCTCCTATTCAAACAGTCTATACTCTGCATAATTTTCTCGGTTACAGCGCCCTCTGTTAAGCAAAATGCAAAAACCTACAATGGATCTCTAGTTGTCACGATTTTAAGCAGTTTGTACTTTTTTATATAAATTTCCCAGTTGCAGTGCCATTTGTGAAGCAAAATGCACAAACCTACAACTCAAATAAGGTTACTTTTTTCTGGAGAATCTGAATCTGCAATGAAAAATAAGGGTTCATATTTAACATTTCCAAAAATGATCCCTACCCCCTGAAGATAGGGATGTCAGTATTAGTGGATAGGTTTTTATAGTTTAGTATTATTGATACTGTTTTAAAAAATATTGAATGCATCACCTTTCGATCCTATATATATTTCTCGAAATATTTGACCGTTTCCAAACTTTTTCACTCCCTGAATCGTAAAATAAATAGCCTCATTAACTTTCTGCTATCTATTGCAAACATTTATTCGATGGAGGAGCCACGGTGATTCCAAGGACAGAGCCCATTCAGGTAGCCCAGGATCAAATCCCAGCGATAGCTAGTGGAAACGAATTCTGCATCAAACTAGCACTAGTGACAGACGGCTCATTGGTAGAATCCCCCTGCCGTCGGGATAAACATGGAAGTTTTCTGTAGTTTTCATCTCCTTTTAGCGTAAATGTGGGTTAGTCTCATCTAAAAGTCCATCCAAAGGACAATCATGACTATTATATTCGAAAGTGTAATCGCACACACTTATCCTTCGGTAATAAATTTGTATTGTTCTTGACTCTAGTTTATTCTCTTATATTTTCATTTCATAAGTAGATTAGAAATAATCAAAATACCGTTAAAAAATTTACCACAAAAACTATTTTAATCATATAGAACAGGAATAAAATACACTCACCCAGTTCTGCTGAGTCCTTTATTACAATCATTTTATGCGGTCTTATTGTAAATGAACTTCCATTGCCATGAATGATTACGGTATTAATCTCTTCATTAAACTCTTCATCTGTACCATAAATCGATTCTAAACTTGATCCATCGTCAATTTTACCCTCCTTCTCTTCTTTTTCATTAACTCCTTCTTCTATATATAATTTTAGCTCTTGGTCAGTTTCCTGATGAGGTTCAGCTGTGGTAAAAAAATTGGTAGTTTCAAGTAAATTAATCAATTTATTTCCAGTCTCAGCTTCAAGCGAAGAATCTTTTAGCTTTCCTAATGAGTTCACAGAAATGGTTTGATTTTCTTCTTTTACTGAAACGCCTTCATCAGGATTTCTGACAATGTTATAAGGTGGGCCAACATCTAATCCGTCGATGCTTCTGACATCTGATGGATGACTTTCTACAGACTTATGCAGAATAAAAGCTGAAATGACAAAAAAAATAATAGCATTGTAAAAAGTTAAAACTTCGTACAAAAAAGCATGGTAGACCAGGATTAACTGGCGTGGTTTTCCATCAAAAAGTTTTCAAAACGCAATAATTTATCATTTAGTATGAATTATAAGTTAAGTATAAATTTTAACAATTTTAAGTTAAGCTGTTAGTGTCTGGGTGGCGCAGTTGGTTTGTCGTCGGCCTTCTGAGCCCAAGTCTACGGGTTCGATCCCCGGCCCAGACACCGGATTTTCGGGATGCAGAAAATCCTCAGCGGCCATGTCGTATGATTATGCGCCATGTAAAAGATCCCTGGAGTGCCTTATTGTCTCTTGACATTTCCGGCAAAATTAAATTCCTAGTGCACTACAAATAGAGTCTCGGTGCTGCCATCTAGTGTGGCAGGAACTAGACGTCCAAATTAACATGACCAACGGTATCTCATCCATTGTGGTGGTCCTGAAAGAGTGGATACTGCTTCTGCAGAACGCACTAGGTCTGCTCATCGGCAAGACTGATTATGCAGCTCATTGGTAATAAGAAAAATAAAGAAAGTTAAGCTAAGACGGAAAGTTTAAGAAAATTTCTTGACACCCCCCCCCCGTTTCCTATGGTCATGTATTATCCTCAGTACTTTATACTAATTGTATGAAAGTATACTGGTATGGTTTAATACTATTGGTGTATTTTCAGGAGCAAGTCACTTTGAGGAAACCTGTGTGCATGTAGCTCTCAACTGTAATACATGTAGTTCTCGAAAGTACTTAAAGTGTTACTGTTACTACTTTATGAACATTTTAACTAACATCAGTATGTAATTTCATTTTTACTTTTCTCGGTGGCTTTACGCTATTAGATTTAATAAAAGACAATTAAAAAAAATTATTGCTTAAAAACACTCTTGGTTACATGCAGTTTTCCCTGTACTAAATCGTAATAGTGATGACTCACCTCGAAATGCCGAATAAGTATTCGGTTCAGGGGGGGGGGCGCACAAGACCTATTACCCCAATATCAGTATCAGCTACTTTCTATATTTCATTTGGAACCTATAACTTCACTACAAGTAGTAAATTTTAACAAAATTAGTTTTGAATCACTTGAGTCTATAATAGCTTTCTCCGGTTTCGTATGACTCCCGAAATGGGGAAATATAATTATAAGTTATTCCACTAATATTGTAACAAAAATTTATTTTGATCTAAATATCAGGGTACTTACACATCTATGTTTTTAGTCCAGATACAAGTTATCCCATTAAAATGGCACTTAGTCCGAAATTATCATTTCTTCACTTTCTATACTTCCAAAAGACTTAATATTTTTAAAAACTTCAGAACACAGGTTTTTCAGAGGTTCATCTGCTTTACATTGATTACTTATGATTATACTACATTACTGATTACTTATGATTATATTACATTGGTTATTTATGATTACTTATGATATATACACATTTTGAAAGTGTAAGTATAAACAAAACAATAATTCGATAAACATCATTCGATAATTTTACCACATTATGCAACGAAAACTCTCCATGTAATTATGCTTGTGTTCTGACTATTGTTAAACTGAAAGTTCAACAATTAATTGAGGAGAAACAACATCTATGATTCACTACATATTTCAAGATACTAGTTCAAAATTTCAAGTTGAAAAAAAAGTTTAAAACTTAAGTCATATACTTACTACTATAATGAAATTTCATTTGAATTGATAAATATTTCGGTTTCTCAGAATAAACATAATTTGTTTTTTAAACCGCATTCATAACAAGCTCAGTAATTTTTAGCGAAGTGATTTGGTTATGATTTTGGTAAAATTATCAATAAAATATGGTTTATGTTATGTGATAAAATTTGGTAAATTTGGCAAACTTCGGTAATTTTTTGGTGATACCTTATAGCTTGGCATGTAAACCATTTATTCGGTAAAATGTAATACTTAGTTTCGTTTTTTTTTTTTACTCAATGTGTGGTAATAAAAACTATAATTTTAAAAACCAGAATTTCCGGTAGACCTTTACCATATGATTAGAAAAAACAACGCGAATATTAACTTAACTTAAAGCACACATTTTTGTATTTTTACTAAATGCGTGGTAATAAAGTGACGCCCGGTGGCTGAGTGGTAGCTCTTAGCGCTCCCATGCTGCAGGTCTTGGGTTGGATCCTCGGACCGGGAAAGGTTGACTCAACCTTTCATCCGCTTTCAGCTACTCCTGCAACATCTACTCCTGCACCCCAGAGCCCAAGTTCAAGAAAACGGAGATGGACACAGTAGGTCTTGGTCCTCTATGGGCTGTCGTGCCACTGAGTTTAGTTTTTTTTTAGTGGTAATAAAGTACCATAACTTTGAAAATCAGAATTTCCGGTAAGCCGTTAGCATATAATCAGAAAAATTACTTTATGAATGGATGAAATATCATATATTTCGGTTTCATTAAACAAAATCATGGTTTTGTTTTTACCAAAATGTCAATGCGATATAGTATATTCATTTTACCATCATTTTTCCTCTGCGTCTGAGTAAAAGAAAGCAACGTAAATTAAGTACAACCAAAGGCAGAATAATAGACATAATATAATTTCGGATTCATAAATACGAACCACCTCTCTAGGAATGTTCTTAGGATTTTTTTTTTCTTTAATGGAATTTTTTCCTTAATGAAGTTTTTTGCTACTCTAAAGTAGATTCTTGTTCTTAGAAACGAAACTATAGTATGTCCATTTCTGTGCCTTTATTCTTGATTTATTTACTATGATTTATTTTACATTATTACTCAAATAAATTTATACTTATATTTTTGACACCGAATAGTGCAATTTTTAGCTGATTCTTGAAGATCTAAATATTTTTCAATTTGCTTGGACATATCTTTTATAAATATATGACCGAAATGACGATTTTTATCGACTTGAAATTTAAAACTTTTTAAATAAAATTTTCGTGGTGCAATCTAAATAGGAGAAATAAGTAGAAATTTGAAAATGGTCACTCAGTAAAAATATTGGTGAAGTAGTTTAATTTCATCATCGCTCCAATTCAACTGATTGGTTATTGCTTATTTATGTGCTTCATTCGCTTCAGAAACATTCAAATCGAAAATAACAGTCGACATGTTTCAAGCTCTAAAAAATAGGCGCCCATTTTCAAGGCACGCCAAACGAGAATGAGAAGAAACAAAAGTGAATTAAAGTATAAAATGCAAATATGCCAATGAAAAAATAAGGTGAGAAACATAAGTAGAAAAACCATAGCAGCCGAGAGAGAGGGAAAAAATCGATGAGAAACAGAACAAGAGCACATTTATAAGGGGGTGCAATGGAGAAATGAAAGTTTCAATTGGTTTACTCACGCTGACCCATGCCAAGATAAAGACAAAACTATTCACCTCACACCCCTATTCGAAGCGACTTTTCCTCGTAACCATGGTACCCGCAACGATGCCAGACTGATGTCTAGAAAATTTCTCCTGAAAGCCTCGTTATAAAATATTTTTCTCCGAATTATGGAGAAACTAATTTCGTTAACAGGAGAATGAGCATTCATATGAATAAAAAAAGATTACAGTGCGTCAAGATGAGCTGTGTGACTGGGATGGAAATAATTTTATCATTGTCGAAATTGAATTTATGCCTGTTTTTAAAGTGAATGAAGTACACTGGTTATCATAAATTAAGGAAAATTCACAAAAATCGCGATAACTCAAGAAATTACACATGGAATTTTATGAAACTTACCCACAATATACAACACATAGTAAGGTATTAAACAACATAAAAAGAAATTATCAGACATTAATAGTAGTATAGAAATTAGCACATGTATAAAATAAACAAATTGGAAGTATCGGTTTGCAATAGAAAAAGTACCTTTAATATGGAATATGATTGCCTCTAGAAGCAATACAGCACAAACAGCGATGTGTGATGCTTTCAATTATGCGGTCTATCAGTTCAATAGGAAGTGAGAGCCATTGCTCTTGTAAAGCAGTTGCAAGCGTGGCAAGGGTCTGAGGGGGCGGATTGATGGCAGATACACGCCTCCCTAGAGCATCCCAAACGTGCTCGATAGGATTCAAGTCCGGGGATCGAGCTGGCCACTCCATGCGAGTAATTGTTTCCTGTTGAAGATAATCATCAACAATGCGAGCTCTGTGTGGTCTTGCATTATCGTCCTGTAACAGGAAGCAATCACCAATTGCCCCGGCATATGGGCGCACATAAGCATCAAGGATGTTGTCTCGATAAACCTGAGCATTCACGGTTCCCCTTGGAAAGACATGGAGGTATGTGCGCCCTCCTAAGGATATGCCTCCCCAAACACAGACACTGCCTCTTCCGTATGCATCTCTTTCACGGATGTTTGATGGATGATAACGGGTCCCAGGTTCTCTCCATATCAAATAACGTCTACTGTCACTTTCTAGACTAAACCTGGACTCATCCGTAAAGAGAACAGGCCTCCATTGATCTGACGTCCAGTGGACATGTTGTCGGGCCCACTGCAAACGGTCTCTCCTATGGCGTGATGTGAGCGGCACGCAAATGGCTGGTCGTCTCGCATACAGACCACCTTCGTGGAGCCTTCTGCGCACAGTTGACGTTGACACCAACCTTCCGGTGGCTGCAGCAAGAGAGGATCTAAGATGTGTCGGAGTAGCGGTTCTATTCCTGCGTGCACTTAATGTCAAATATCGGTCATCGGCACTGGTCGTAACAGTTGGCCGTCCTTGACTGAACCTCCTAGATGCCGAATCTGTGGTTTGAAATTGCCTCCAAAGTCTATGAACCACAGATGGACTCACATTTAGCCATCTGGCCACTTCTGATTGACTCTGCCCTGCCTCTAGTCTCCCGATGGCTCTCCATCGTAGTTCTTCAGGCAAATGATGCCTAGAGGTCATTATTACGAATTGGCTATCTCAGATTTTCAATGTCGCAATCACAGTAAAATTTGTGTGCTTTCTCTCAAACTTGGACTTTTATGCTCCAGGCAGATGACGTAAGCCGAGTGCAGCGCCACTAATTTGCATATTGCAATTTTACTCAGCTACTCTTAGTGGACAACATATGCAAATTTTGCACGGTTTGGCTTACTTTTGAAAGAGTTATCGCTATTTTTGTGATTTTTCCTTAATTTATGATAACCAGTGTATTTGAACAAGTTACATCTTTCCGCTTTACTTTCTTGGGATTATTTATTTATTCATTCATTAGTTCTTGGTTATAATTTCAAAATTATTGAAAAATGCTAATTCTTTTCCTATTTTAATATACTACCTCAGTAATCCTGAAAAAATAACACTATAACACTGAAAGAATTACTCAGTAACACTGAAGAAATAATTAAATGACGCAATTTCACACTTCCGAGCTTTTTTTAAACAATATTAGTACTTACCAAATAGAATTCTGAGAAAGATTTTCGTTTTTCTCCTTTCACTCATTTTAATGATTTAATGACAAATCCGTACGGTCATAAAAAATGAACCCATTCGATGATCTTTAGGATAAAATTAAGACTGGAGAATATTTTTCAATTTTTAGAGTCTTAAATAGCTTCTCATTGGATTTAGTATGAGTAGTTAAAAAATTAAGTGTTTTTTTTCTGAAAAAGATTATATTTATTTAAAAGGAAATTATTAAACCTAGTTATAAGAAATGAGACAAATAACAATGGTAAAATTCATCGAAAATCAATAAAGTAAGAAAAAAAATTTATTTTTTGAAACTTTTCTATGCTCATTGTTTTTATTTTTCGAAGAAAGGACTCAAAAACAAAAGAAAACACTAGAAAACTAGCTAATATTTAAAATTATTTTAAGTAACTAGTTTAAAAATGAGTTCATGAATACAAAAATGCATTTAAAATTTTAAAAAATCAGATATGCTAACTATTTTTTTGCATGCTATTATAATCTATCCCATCCTTTTGTAATAGCTATGGTTCTGGAATCGGAGTCGAAAACAATTTTGCAGGAGTCAGAGTCAATACAATTTACGTGACTAGGACCAAAAAAAGTTATGTTCCATAGATTTAAGTTTAATAGCTTGATCTTATGAGAGTTATATGGCTTAATATTTATAATCATGCAAGGGAAAATGTTAATTAAGCGTGAATATTATAACAGTCAAAGTTACAACTTTTCATAAATAAATTTTTTATGTTTGAGTTTTTATTAACCTACATTTTTGTCTACTTTAAGTGTCTAGGAACATTCGAAGTATGATAAACTATGTTTGTTACATTTAAATTTTTACTCGCCTATATTTTGTTTAATTTTAAACGTCTTAGGTACCTATCATTATTACAATTAGAATTTAACTAGCATGTATTTTACTGAATATTAAATGTCGAAGCAACCTATGATTATTACATTTGAATTTTTATTAGCCTCTTTTTATTGAACTTTAAATGCCTCAGCAACCTATGATTTTTACATTTAAAATTTTATTATCCTTAATTTTGTAGAACTTTAAATGTCTAAGGACCCTAGGAGCCTATGATTATCAAATTTGAAATTTATTAGCCTATATTTTATTAAATTTTAAATGTCAAAGATACCTGAGATTATTACTCTTGGATTTTTATTAATCTATATTTTACTTAACTTTAAGTGTCTAAGGAACCAATAATTATTTCTTTGAATTTTTATGAACCCATATTTTATTGAAATTTATATTTAAAAGGAGCCTATGATTGTTATATTTAAATTTTTATTAGCCCATACTTTTTTTATTATAGCTTTATTTAGGCATATTTACTAGCCCATATTTATTAGCCCAAATTTAAATTTTAAAGGTATTATTGCATCCGAATTTTTATTAGCCTATATTTTATTAATTTTTAAATGTCTAAGAAGCATTTAATAATTTGTTTAAGAAAGCATGTATGCAAGTAAAAAATAAAATTAATCATTTTAGATTAATAAAATATCATTGACACATGAATTAATATTTAATACTTAAAAAATAGCTACTTCTTTTCGAGAAATTATAAACTGATACACATTTATGGCTAATTCGATATTATTTTGGTTAAGCTAATAAGAAAATATGGACTCGTTTATTTGAAAATAATATTGAATTAGAAACCAGTCAGTAATTTATTTTGTTAATAAACTAGTCTGAATACCCGTTTTTCGTACTGGGGGTGGGAGGATTGGCATCAACTAATCAGCACTAATCAACTATACAAAATTGGGCACAAAATTGTAAGATAAATATCGACACAAATAATAAAGCTAAAATAATTCCAATGTTGTTTTTTATTTATTTATTATTTTTATCTTCTCGGTGACTTTACGTTATTATATTAAGCAAAACATTTATTTAATAATTCATCGCATCAGAATAAAGATTAACTGTATTCAATATCAGTTGACATAATGCTGTTGCTCGAGGCAACTCATGATATTTAAAATTTAAGACCACCAAGCTACTTTCTACTGAACTTACTTAGTCGAAAAGCTGTAAAAAACCTATCATAAAAAATACATTATTGGTTCAGTAATTGGAGTCAAATATCTCCAAATACTTTGTAGCTATGTAATAATACTTGGTACCAATTCCAACTACCATGTATTATTTTGTCAATTACCATGATGCCTTTGCCTATAACTAAAATTAAAAGGGAATTCTCTCCAACATCAGAAAGCGTGTCATTTTTCTTTCCATTAGGGAGAATCTTCTACCTTCTTCCATCTCTTCCACGAGAGTCTTTCTTCATTGGAGAAATATTTCCCTTCAGAACACTGAAAAAAAGAATAAAACATACTTTGCGTTAAGCATTATCTAATATGAAATAAATTCCTTTTTTGGCGAGATCGATAATAAATATG